TTACAATTTGATGTGGACAAATCAAACTAATATCATTCAAATCTCTCTCACGTACACTAACACAGTTGTGAAGGCACAATTTCTCTTACTTTTACTGTTCCACGCACCGAGTATGTATGGGGAAAGTACGTCGATGTAATTTGAGTGTTCTTCGATACTTGATTTGATTTAAGAAAGTGGATACATAAAAATTTCAATTTCAATCAAAAATTGCTCTGATTTTGAAAGTCTTTGTTTTTTAATTGATCGATTTTCTCTAACGAACGAAGAGATTTCTTTTTATCAATAACATTCAGCTATCAAGATGAATTAGTTTAATATTTTCAGGCAATTTCTCATTCTGTTTCGCATAATCGATCAATGCAAGAAGTTTTATCATGAAAACCAATGCCGACAATTTGCCATTAAGAAGAAGAATAACAAGAAAAAAGAAGTTACTTTCAAAGTCTGATATAGACACTTAAGGAGCTTTTCGAAATTCATACGTACGCCGTGTATGCTGTTCGGTAAACACAATGGAGCACAGCATACTTGTTAAGTACTTGGCACTGTTTTTTGAGATAAAAGATTTGCTATCTGTTTGTTTTTTGAGAAATTGTAAACAAAAGCAGTTTTTTTTTCAATAGAATTCTAAGTGATTATGAGCAACGCAACAATTGTAGGCAATATTTTGTAGCACTTCCGACGCTAGATGATTTTCTACACTTCACTTGAGTGTATCGATAAATTCATCGTTTTAATGAAATGGATGAGAGTGGAAAGAATTTCCAAAGTGAAGTAAAATCATAAAAAATGACTTGTCCATGGCAAAAGCGATGATGATAAATTATTTATCGGAGATGGCTGCTCACTCATTGCTCTTTTTTTATAACGTCGACAATTTTGTGTATCTTATCAGGAACGTAATATTTACGTGAAAATGTAAGCATATCGATTTTTGTGCGGCGGTATACTTCTGGAATGATCAATGATTTCACTTCGGTCTTTGGTATACTCATTTTTTAAATTAAGTAATGCTCTAAATTAAACACAATAAAAATCAAAAAAATAAAAAGACTGAAGTGTGTCAAAAATGCATGTAAATATCTTTGCATAAATGCCTACACACCATGAAAACTGAAGTTAAACGACGTCGTTTCGATGTTGTTGACAAAAGTGACTCATTAGCTAAGGACATGATTGTCATTACATCAAATGGCACCGTTAACTTAGAACAAGCAGTGAGTGATGTAATCACAAAATCCACCTCAAATACGTCGATTTTTTTTCTACTCAGATTCTTCAGGTGAATCGTTCGAATGAAATTATAATCATTGCAAATATTTGCATAAAAACGTGAGAAAGTTTCGACAAAGCGTTAAAAAACCAGCAAATTTTGCTTGAACGATTTGGAATAATATTTCAATAAAAAAAAACTCCAAGTGTCAGCAGTATTCATCTTACCGCATTCATTTTGCTCGTAAATTTGGTTTCTAAGTGCCATTCCCGATTCGCAGTGCTATATCGTAGTTCAATCCCTGAATCACGTTCTACTGTCGCGCTTCCACTTCACTTGGCTACCAAGTTGAACATTTAAACTGATAAGAGCGTACAAACAACAACAAAGTATCATCCGATGAATTCATTTGAAGTGAAATTTGCATAAAACATGATTGCGCCATAAAAATAATAGCCAATAATTTAGGATGACAAAGACACATTTACTTCGTGCGCTCCTTTTTTCGTCGGTCGTTTTGCTTAAATCATATTGTTTGTCCCATCGTTTCTCTGTTATAATGTTCACAGTGTATGTGTGTATGTGCTGCTTAGCTACAAAGGTGACACTGTCAACGGATGTAACAACGTTTGAAATCGTTCGCCAATATTTGAATGGAAAAATAACATGAAATGTGATAAAAATGGTGAAAATCAAATCAGACCCAAATGTTAAATGATGGCCTAAGGTAAATACAAACTATTACATTTGTAACGAAAATCAAAAATTCAAAATATCCTCCGCAACCCTACTCTGTCAGAGCAATATTTTTCGGTGAGAAACAGTCTCTGATCAGAATTAGTATAATAATATTAATAATGATAAAGTCAATTCGTTCATAAAAATCCACAACATTGAGAGTGAGGTCATAACACAATGTGAAATTGAACCTTCGTAAATCATTGGGTGTGCGGATAAAAATATTCAAATAAAATAGTAGTTAACCATTCTGCCATTGCATATGATTATTACTGACATTTTTTTCTGAATTCGTTTTCAAACATACCTACTAATAAAAACAACAACCGTTTGAATGGTTCTTATGCTTTTGATGTGTGGATTGCACTCGATATCAACCACTCATATATATTCGCTTTTTATGAAAACTCTCAATAATCACATTGAATGAAATTAAAATTGAAAACACGGCTGATATAAATTCCCCGTAAATCTATAGAGTAAATATATACTCAAAAATATATTTGCAGTGCATATATGGTCGATGAAAACAAAACAAAAGTTGAGATCGATTTTTTTCTCTCGCTGAGAGCTCAAAAGCATTTCACTTCATTTCAATGAGTTTTTTTTTGTAATAGGTCGTCACAATTTTCACTCGGCAATTCTGTTTGAATGGTTTCACCTCTCAATCAATATCAGCGACAGATTTATAAAAAATCACTTAATTAATCAATCTCTTATGTTTTGTAATTTGCTTTTATGCAATTACAAACCTACGATCCAACGACCCTTAAGTATGAAGTACCGAAATGCTGGTGATGAAATTAAAAATATGCCACCTTATGGCTAGGGGGTAGACACGTGGAATAGGATTAGACTTTTAGTGTAAAAGTTCGAGAAATTAAAGTGGAATAGACAATTCAGTAGTTGGATTCACATGGATTCACTAATCCCATGTATGGAATAGCGAAAATGGGTTAGATTCAATGTTTTTGTAATCGATAGTACAGAATTTGATCAAAGCATTGAACTTGTGTTGAGATAGTAATTTGTTCTTTTTTGAGATATTTTTTTGTTTAAAAGTCGATTACAAATTTACAAAACAATAGATAGACTTTCTCAAAATTTTATTGATGAAAAAAATAATTTTAATGTCATACTCCAGTGTCGATAAATAAGTTTTCAACAAAGTGAATAGCGGCGAAATGTGACATCATATTTGACAATTAAATGACGGATTGGTGGAATAGTAGGATTACTGTTTATATATTGGAATCATGGTTTAATCGTTTGTGTCTCCCCCCTAGCCTTATGGTTGAAATACGAAAAATTAAAATTCCAAACTTTCTAACCACCGAAAAGAGTGAGGTAGAGTGAATGGTGGTTTTTACTTTTCCGCACACACCGAGTGTGTAAGATACAGGGGGAGGAAAAAATTTTAAGCCTAGGATATAAAGAGAAGTGTTTTCAAATCATTCTTGTGCTGTAATTGAAGTATGAACTGTCAACAGTATTCCCACAAAAAAATGAGTTCATATCTCTCTTCATTTGTTAAGTTCTACATTTGACATTTAGTCATTTTGATATTTTTTTAAAAACTGAAAAATTCCAAAATCATGTTGAGATTAGGTATCTCACAAAAGATTGTATAGCATCAAACAATTTCAATCACTCCTTGCGTGTAATTTATGGTCACCCCCCTCCATCGTATACCATAGTCAAAGAATAAGAAAAATCTTCATAGTTGTGCAGAGACTTGATGAATGTTGACTCTCACACTTTTGTGACAATAGTGAAAACAGTTCTAGATCTTATGGCCAAAATCCAATTGTCCTTTATGAAATATTCCAAATGCCCAATAGTACGTTAGCTGCGATCCTCAGCATCACAGCAGATAGTGTCTTCAATATATCACACGAAAAATGTTACTTAGAGAACGTTTGTTCGCGATCATTCGAAAAGCCTTTGATTTTTTTTGTTGACAGATGATCACATTTCTCTTTGTGATTGATTACTCAAGTTTCTGGAATGTAGCGAATAAATCAATAGTAGTTGGTAATGAAGCCCGGTTCTAGTACTACAAATCAAAGACCAAAGCGAAGAGAATGTATTATTATACAGTGGTGGCAAGGCATCAGTAGAAAGTCGCCTCCAAACAGATGATTTCCAACATATGACTTCCATTTCTGGGATACAAATGATATATTAATGATTGGCTTGTCACCAAAAAATACTATGGTCTTGGGTCTGTACCACGCTCAATAGATGTATGGATTGCGTTATGTAGTAGAAGTAAAATATTGTTTTCTTCTGGCGAGAAAATTTGTCTTCGCATGACAGCTCGCAAGTGAATATTTGGAGAAGCACTGTCACAACCTGAATCTTGATTCAAATTCACCATCTATTGCATTTGTTGGGGCCGGCCTCTAGCTAGTATTTCCACTTTTCAAATATGAAAAATGTCTCAATAGGAAAATGCGGTACTCGATTTTATAAAAAATTTCAAGGATTTCGAGGTGATGACCAATTGACTAACGTAGAAAACTCTCAATAAGAGATATCAACCTAATTTTTTATGGGAATACTGTTGACAGTTCATACTTCAATTACAGCACAAGAATGATTTGAAAATACTTCTCTTTATATCCTAGGCTTAAAAATTTTTCCTCCCCCTGTAAAGTATTGGAACGCGAATCAGTAGTTTTTATTTCTCGATATAGTAATGTATGTGCGTGGTACGAATAAATTTGTTAACAAAATAACTCGCCTTTCAGAATAGTAATTCAAAATCTGAGTTCACAGGATGATTAGGTGTTGTGAGGAATAGAAATCATTGAATTTTGAGCGAATTTGGTTGATGGGGTAAAGTTTCAAGCCTGAAGTGATGCACATGCGAAAAAATTCCATGGCATGGCTCCAGTACAAAAATTCACATTTTATGTGATTTTTGTATGAAAAGTGTTTCAAAAAAATTTATGTCAAAATTAACACTTTCACATGTCATATAAATGGGTTTTGCGAGTACTTCTGCTATTAAAATAAAGAATAGCTTAATAAAATACGCATATACCATCGTGTGAAAAAGTTCATCTCACTGCTGTAAGACTCTTTATTTCATTTTTATTCGAACAATGTAAATTGGATAATTTTTGTATTTAACATTTCGAAAGAGAAAATTTGAATTTTCTTTACAAAAACATAACCAATGTTATTATTCGTTTGGTAGTTCCTTCAATTGTCTCCGTCTTTCTTTTTCTGCTGCTTCCGCTGCCTCTGCCTCTCTTTCCTCTTTTTCTTCGATTTGTTTCATCGCTTGCATCGACTTGTAACTACAGATACATGGAGAACCACCTACCTTTGCAGCAAATTCACCAGTTTTTAAACCCATTTTGAGGCCATTACCTACCGTTTTTGCTACATTTTCTCCTACTGTAATGGTTCCAGCACCAAGTCCTAGAACAGTTTCCCCAAGGCCTTCAGAACACGCCATTGGACAACAAACAAAACACCCAAAACCAAGGAAAAACGCGTTTTCACATAATTGTCCTGCACTCGATAGCGTGTTTATTCCACTGGTTCCTATTTTGCGACCTGATTTACCAACTATTTTAAGAGTATCTTTGGAACCCTTTTTCATAGCCATGGCAACCTTTTTTGCCTTTCCTTTGATTCCTCCTAACACAAGAAGAAAATAAATAAAATAAGTACTTTTGTATGAAGTCTCCATAAATACTCACCGCCATTAGCATTTGCGCATGGAACTAGAAGCTATGAAATAAGACAAAAAATAATATTTTTTTATTTTAATTAAAATCCCACTATTTTATCGGCCAAAAATGAATATATACCTCCAAACTTATAATTGCAATGAAAAATAGACAAAGATACTTTCGATCCATCTTGTTTCCACTGTTTTTCATTATTGACTGATAATTTAGATCAAATGAATTCAGTATTTTATAGCAAACGACTTCAAACAGGTAAATTATTCCCCTATACAAATTCCATTTTTTTAAATATTATAATATATTGCTCGATGTATCATCAAGTTTTAAAATCGTTTCCTATTTGTTTGAAAACAACTTCGATTGTAAGTGACAACACTAACTCAAAAACTTCAATTTTGATGAAAATTACTCAAATTGTATCTCTTGAGATGACCTTCCTCTTTTGAGAAAAAAACATGGCCAAATTGCTCTGTCGATCTTATAAGCAGTAGTTTTAGTACAGTAGTTATTAGATTCAGATAGATTTAGATACAGATCATATGGATTTATTAATATGCATCAAGCATTAGTACCAAGTAACTGTAACAGTGTATTTTGTTTGTATAAAACAGAATTTATATTACGCAGCTGTTTTTATCATTTTTCGTCTTTAGCGTAAACTTTGAGTAAAAACTGGTGAATTTGCTGCAAAGGTAGGTGGTTCTCCATGTATCTGTAGTTACAAGTCGATGCAAGCGATGAAACAAATCGAAGAAAAAGAGGAAAGAGAGACAGAGGCAGCGGAAGCAGCAGAAGAAGAAAGACGGAGACAATTGAAGGAACTCTCAAGCCAATAAAGAACATTGGTTACGCCTTTCCAAAGAGAATTCCAATTTTTTCTTTCGAAATATTAAATACAAAAATTATCCAATTTATATTGTTCGAATGAAAATTATAAATGTACATTTTTCGAAGTTTTCAATTGGTTGAATACAAAAACTCAATCAAAATTCAAAAATAAATATAATTTTAAAAAAATAGTATGACGAGCATGATTTTCAATATTTAATAGGTATCAATTTTTTTTTGAATCGTACTATATGGAGAAACACTTTTAAGGAATTTCGTAAAACATACATGTGCATAATTTAATTATTTGTTTTTTTAAATGTGAGTTATTGCTGTTTCTGCCTTTGAGAAATAATTTATCGGCAAAATTGAGTGGAATGAATGAATATTGATACAAAAAATGTATTTTAAAATGTTAAATTAAAGAAATTCTGTTCGTGCACGTTTTGTAAAGAATTTCTTAACATCTTTAAAATTAATTCAAAGGCAACTAGAGCCCAATAACTAGACTAACTAATTTTAAATAACAACGAACATTAAGTACATGGTACACAATCTTTTTCGTCAATGTTAGCGTTTTGTGTATTGTCTCCAACTTCAACCGTAGTGCATAGTCTATTCTAATACAATAATTTATTCAAATGACATTGATATTTCCAGCACTTTCAATTACTGATTATATTTATCAAACAAAAAAACTTCCATCAAGGTGAAGAAAGAGTGACAAACCAAAAATTCGAAAACCAAAATGAAACTTGTAAAACTTGTATGGCTATTATTTTTCTCCAAAATATGTTCCCATTTGATTTTGGACGACAGTTATCGCTCGGTAAGTATTTTAATTTTGCAAACTCAAGCCGTTTTCAACGTTTTTTTTAAAGTTAAATTCGTCGATGTAGATAGAAATAAGAAAGATTGTTTTCGTTGAAAACCTTATTTGAAAGAATCTCCTTGAAGGTAATTTGCTATTGTTTTTGTGCTTTTTCCATTCATTTTTATTTTTCCGCACACACCTAGTGTGTAAGGTAAAGTATTGGAATCGGTCGAAAAATTAACACCCTCAAAAAACATGTTTTCTGGGTGTTTTAGGACCCAGGGAACACGAATCTAGCGTTTTTTCGACGTCCGAATGTATGTGCGTGGTACGCTGTACGCTGTACGCTGTACGCAAAAATTTGTTAACACGATAACTTTCAAACCAGAAAAGTAATTCAAAATCTGACTTCACAGGATGATTGGGGGTGCCGAGGAATAGAAACCATTAGATTTTGAGCGACTTTGGTTGATAGAGTAACGTGTCATGTCTGGTGTGATGCCCATGGCCATCCATGGGAAAAATTCAATTTTCCCCCCAAAAGTGATATTTAATGTATTCTTAAACATCCAAAAATATGTATTGGGGGGTTTTTGGGTACGAGAAAACCGAATATGACATTAGTTTTGCGATACAAATATATTTCGACACACCTTTCATACAAATATTTCAAAAAAATTGAATTTTTGTATGGAAGCCATGCCTGTATGATATCGTAATGACCTGAAACTTTGCGCAGGTTATTTTTATCACACAAAAATAATATTCCGAGAGTTTGAAGACATTTCAATACATATTAGGGGTACCTTCCGAACAAAATTTTGGATTTTTCACCCAAATAAAATTCCCATTTTAAGTAATTTTTATATAAAAAGTAAGTCAAAAATTATGTGTATCGCAAAACTAATGTCAGATTCAGTTTTTCGTGAGTTCAAATTCAAGTAAAAGATAAGTTATAAATGAATTTTGTGGATCACAGTGCGGAAAAGTTCATCTTACGTATGTAAGACATTTTATTTACTTCTGATATTGGATGTAATATCTGATCATCTTTATTCTCCTTTCTTTGTCCAGAAAAAATGAGAAATAAATAATGATGAATTGATGTTCATATAATGGGACATTTGAAAGCTTTCAATAAATAAATTATGAAAATGTGGAGGAAAAATTGTCAATTTACACAATGACGCGAAGAGTCATTTTCACCGTGTTACGTGGTCTCGTTTCTTTAACAAACACTTTACCATTTTTTCTTCTTTTTCTTTTTCTTTCATTGACACGATTTAGTTTTCTTCGCTTCATGTCATTTTAATGGCATAATAATGTCGAACTCTTTTTTCGTTGTTATTTTTCTTTTTGTCCCAGTTTCAATTTGATTATTTCGCATTTGTTTTGTTATAGAGATTCTGTGTCAGTTGAGAAAGCTGCATTAACTTTTAAAAATGCGAAAAGTTGTCGTGGCTCAAATTAACAATGTGCTAAATGAACAAAAGTCTAGTTTGAGCGAGTGAAAGAACGAGAGAGAAAACAATTCATTATTAAAATTTTGTTCATTTCATTTGAAGTTTTTTTTTCTTTTTTGGTAAATTGTCGGTGCCGTCACAGAGAAGAAGCTTCATTAATTTTCACTGTCGAAAAAGTCATTTGAAAAGTTTTTGGTGATAATTCATCCCGCGTCGGCTATTTCATATGAGCCCAAATATCATGTCATTACGAATAATCGAGTGTAAAACAGTTTCGATGCTTCCGAGCGCATCAACGAAAACGTTACGCTTCCGTAACGCGAAATGATGTTCAATATACCAAATGTGAAAATGTTTCGAAAATGGAAGAATTTCCATTTGACCAACTGCCATTGCCACTGAAATATATTGGACTTTGTAATGTATGTATGGGTTTGTGTGGGCAAAGTTTATTGCACGAATATAAAAAACGACAAACGTCATTCGAACACGGAATAGTTCTTTGACGTAAATGGCTTTCGAAACTATTTATCAATGCAAATAAATGTAAGTCAATTTATATCGTGATTTAGTTTGGATTTTTGTTCGGTGTCTCTTTCTTGCATGCATGCTCTTAAATGTGTGCCGCGCATCTTTGCGCACATTGGACAAATGTCTATCAATTTTTCTTCCAACAAACACACTCAAATGCATTAATTCCTTAACCAAAAACAACAACAGCCAAATGGTGCACACAAACTTTTCCTACAATGGAGAAGTTTTTGAGTGACTGGCGAAAAATGGCTTCGATACGATTGAAAGCATTTTTTCTCTCTCTCTCCAATTTGAGAAGTAAAACAGGAGTTTGAATTTCATTTACCCATAAATGACCAACTTAATTAATCACTTTTACATTTTATCTTCGACAAAGTGAAGCAATCAAGTAGTTACTTCATATTTTTCATTCATTATACACTTTGCACGGTTTTCTATCAATAATTTCAACAAAATGTACTACCGTATTTCTGTATGTGGTGGCAAATGTAATTTCAAAATAAAAAGTAACATTTTTTGGAATAGGTTTTTTCTTGTCTCCTTCGAACGAGGTAAAAATTTAAGAAGGAATTTCATTTAAAAGAGCACACATGAAATGAAATGACTGCAGCACTAAGTGCTCAACTAAAATGTTATTCAGTACGTTTAAAAGCAAATCCAGAACATTAAGATGATTTTTTGCTTCGGAAAATTTGCAGGTTTTTTGAGCATTGGAAATGCAAAGGTTTTTTAAAAAGTTTCATTTAAATAAAAGTGCACATTGAGTCGATTTATAGATAGAAGTTGCACATTCCATATGTGACATAAACTGGGGATTAAGCAAACGTCAACATTTTAATGTAAAGAAAATGATGGAGCACTTACCCTGATGGGCGAATTGAAAATGTAATAAAAGGTTTATGCAAATACACACACGCAAAAAGAAATGAAATAAAACATCCGCTTTTATTGTTTCCCTATCCCATATTTAAGCCATAATTTAATGCACATTCACAGTTAGTTACGTTACTGTGAAAATATGCACAAAATTCGTTATTTTTCATAAAGCATTTTTGTAATTTAAACATTCAAAAACATTCGGTGGAACACGGTAGTGCACGAAGCATTTTTGGAATGCATTAGTGTTGTACACAAAATACAATTTTACCGGGTCTCTAAACATGAATAAAATGCAGGTTGTTCCGTTTTTTTTTCTCCCTCGTCTGCATTGTTTCACGACATTGGCTTGTGTGTTTTTTTTTGCGATGAACTCAAAATTATTTTTGGGTGCAAAATGTCGACTGGAGTGTTCGTGGTGAAAGATTTACGCCAGAAAGAGAAAAAAAATACCAAACCAGCAAATTATTCACGTTCGATCGGCAAGTCGCACGAGACTCCGTCTGCAGTTCCAAATAAACAAACAACCAAGTGAGAAAGAAAAAAAAACGCTCCAATGATAAAAATTAATGCAGATATACTATCAATTTTGGGAGTATTTCACGTGAAACATGTACGCATATATCGAAAAGTTCATTTTTACAAAGCGCAAGCAAAGTCAAATCCAATCGCCAATGTTGTGTGGATAAAAGTAAAAACCAAAAACGAGTTGCCAATATAAAGTTTAACTGTCGCATTTTATTTATGGCAAACATAAATAACAGATAGAAATGCACTTGCTCATGTTCGATGTTTGGGCCCAAACTCATATACACCACTGCTATGACCGCACATTGTATTCGATATACTTGTACAAGTTTTTTTTTTTTGTTTTGTTTCTGTATTTGGTTTTGGTTTCGCTTTGCTGTTGATGTTGTGATTTATGCGAATTTCGGCTGTTCGGTAGCTACTCTGTATGTGTCTGTGTTGTTAATTTTATTACAATTGGAATTCCAAAGGCTTTATTGGCGCTGTGAATTCGCGTACTCACAATATATTTACATTCCATTCATATGACAGTGACGCTGACGACCCAATATCGTGCGCACACACACACCATATTCATTGCAACCATATATATTGTCATAATCAATGAAACCAGATATAGTTGTCATGATAAGAGTAATAATAATAAAATGTCAAACGCATCGTAAGCCCATCGACCATAACAAAGAACTCTTGATATATGACTTTTCAAAAAAAAAAAAAATTAATAAACTTGTAAACTGACATCAGTTCAAGGATTTTTTTTTTCGCAATTTGAATGTATCATTCGAAAAAATACCAATGAAGTGACTGTTACTGTTATTTCTTTTGGAGTTGCGGATTAATAAATTGAAGTGACAATGCGCTTCTGATACAGGTGGAAAAATAAACAGTTGTAAAAATGGAGACATTCAACTCGGCTGGTGGTGCAATCATATATGTTTTATTATTATGCTCAAAATGAAAAATAAATTTTTTCGATCATATCACATCAAACAAATTGAGAGGAATCATTTCGACCCCAAAGATTTTTTTCTTCTTCTGAAAAACTAGCACAATTCACGTTTGTCGTGCAGATCATCGTTTCTAAAGAATCTTGCTGAAAATATATATTTTTTTTATAAATTATATATAAATATAAAGAAATTCAAAAATCCTACCCATTCGGTGGACAATGTCGAGCAAATAATCTTTCAATTTTTTGGCTCGATCTGCAACGGGTAGAACCTCATCATTTTTCATGAGTTTGTTATGGTCTTTCGTGTTTTTCATACAAGCCTCCCATGTAGATGGTGAAAAATCGCGAAAAATGAAAAGAATAATTAATTTTTTTTTCTTCGATTTACAAATACTGCTCAATTTTCTGTATCACCTGGTGAAATCAGAATGAAAAAAATCGCATTCCATATCATCTAAATCACGATCTGGACTTTTTTCACTGTTTGAGTGTTCTATACCGAGTCTCTGAGAGTTTCATATAAACTTGCTATGTGATACCTATTAAATAGTACGCGAATACCAATCGTGATTGAATCAATAGGCGTCATTTGGCTATTGCAAGGCGAGTTTATATGAAACTCTCGGAGACTCGGTATAGAGTTACTGCAACAAAACATAGACCATAATTTCAGTTTATTCCCAAAATTTCGGTTCCATGCGTCAGCTTGTGAACGTCAGCTCCTTTATTACTTTTCCGCACACACCTAGTTTGTAAGGTGAAGTATTGGAATCGGCCGAAAAATTAACATTCTCAAAAACGTGTTTTCTGGGTGTTTCAGGAGCCAGGGAACACGAATCAGTCGTTTTTTCGATGTCCGTATGTATGTGCGTACCTTGTACGCTGTACGCAAAAGTAATTCAAAATCTGACTTAACAGGATGATAAGGGTTGCCAAGGAATAGAAACCATTGAATTTTTAGCGACTTTGGTTACTGATATGACATCGTCAATGAATTTCTTACATCGTCTAAACTCAAAATTATACACAAAGCTTCTAGCGATTTCAGTACATAATAATGTAGTATTACAAAAAATCCATATAAATCGAAACTTCAACTCGACCCTTCATCGCAAGAAAATTCGAAAAAAAAAAACCAATTGAATCCAGATGCCTGCATAGACGTAAATTATGAACTTTGCAATTGATTGCCAAAGTTTGATTTCGAACATTCTTCAAATATAATGGCAAACTCGAACACCCTTAAGACTCTTTAGTAAAGAGTCAACATTTTCAATGGAAACAAATGCAAATAAAAAAAACGCTCAACACCTAATAATTAAATTTAATAAGTAAAATTCTTCAATTTTATTTTTGTTTCATTCGTGACGCTTTGGATTCAATTCAGTTAGTACAACGACAGAGTTGCGTGTGTGGGTTTGTATTTGAGAAAAATATTTTCATTTGCTTTCTGGCAAGTGGAGGTTTTTTTCGCTCTATTTTATCGATTGCTCTAAATCAGCAAAAACATATTTGGGATAAAGTTTGGGGTCGATGAGTGTTATAATGCCAGTAATAGATGATGTTTGTAGGTTGCCAACTAAGGCGAATACTGATTTTTCATTCACTTGCTCTATTTCAATCGCATCCTCTCACTCTTGCAATCTATCCCTCTTCCTTTCTCTCTCTCTCTCTCTCTCTCTACCTCTGTCTCATGCACTCACACAACCCAAATAACATAACGTATCACAAATGAGTGCGAATATCATAGCAAATCGTGTAGCAAGCAAAAGTTGAGCAGATTCATATACGTTTTGTACCATTTCATTTTACTACTGTCTTTTCCTTCACATTCAGCTTATGACTTATTGCTTATTTTAAAAAAAATGTGGCACAGAAAGAGTTTTCGATATATTTTCTTGTACGTGATTTCAAACAGAGTGTTCTCTTTCTTCACATCAGTTGCGTATTATTTGAGAGAAAGTGTGATATACCCTTGAAGAAAAGATAGATCAGAGTTAGGCTATAAAACTTTTTAAATTATTCGCTTATTCTCAGTAGAGCTTGACTTTCTTGTCCTTTTGTCCATTTCATTTATCAAATCGACATGAGTGCTTTCGATTAATTTTCTTTGAAAAATCGCCAGCATCGAATTTTCGAGAAAAATCATTATCGATACAAACAGCAAAGAAAAAAAAAAAAACAGAAAAAAAACGACGAAAATATACAGAAAGCAACGGTCGTTTTGAAAATGTGTCATAAGTCAAAAATGATTTGTTTGACAGAAATAATGTTGTCGGTGATGAAGAAACGCCTTGAAATCACATTGATTCGTATTGTTCGTATGGTTGATGATGAAATTCAATCTGTAAGTGGTGATGCGAAACATGTTTCTCTGTAAATGATTTGAAGTAAACACAGCGTAAAGTGTAAATTTGAATTTAATGATTTAATTGGCTTTTCACTATTAACTACTACCTGTGTTATTTATCACAAACGCTTTAATTCACCTTGATTTTTCCTTCTCGGACCGAAAGAGTCTCACTTACTGTCGCTCAAATGCGATGCAATTAAAAATCGGGGAAGGTTTTTTTTTTCAGAAAAAGAAAGGAAAGTCGTTCTTGCGGTTTCATATATAATACAGAGATAATCCTTAAACATATAAATAAACTATTGTAAAAATAGCTACAAACAAATGCATTGAATCTAGTTGGTGTGTTGTGGCTGAGTTTTGTATTTGTTTTAATTGTAATTGTTCTGATACCGTTGTGTAATTGCGTATGCTTTGCTCCAGATATCGTGGTGTTCGGACTCTTTGCATTTCATCAATGCCTCGCAATGTTTCAGTTCGGTCATGGAATATGACATTATTCTGTCGATCATATGGTCCAAACATACCGAATGGCAAAACATGATTTTCATAATATTTACCAAATAATCGATCCATCTCACGGAATGTGTTATATATTTCATTTTTTCGCAATGTTTTTGCCTGATTATTTATCATTAAGTATCCGCGACTCGACCAATGTAAATAGCAAAACTCTTCGGGTTTTTCATTTCGTCCATACGGGCAAATCAATTTATAATTTGAATTCAAATTAATTGATTGTTTTGTGTCATTGGTCGCAACTGTCATTCCCACATAATCTTGAAGTGCTGCCATATCTACAAATGCCACGTCACCACGATTATCTTTTAAACAGTTGAGTGCACCTTCGTCACCGGCATATTCGTTTTTGCAATGGGCTGAATGTGGTGCCCATGTACATGAATTTTCCGAAAAATAATCGCTTACTTCGTTCGATGTATACGATTCGTCTTCATTTGTAATGCCGCGCGTATGTCGAATTGTTTCCAAAACTGATAAATAAGCGGCACCTTCAAAACTGGGAAAGCAAGCACGTTTTTTATACAAATCATTGAAATTGTAAATATCGGAATCATTCTTAACCACCGCCACCACTGTGTAACGATCGATTTTTTGCTTTGCAAATTCATACAAAATCGGATTCAAATTGTATTGACGTTCAGCACGTATTCGGTCGTTCTCACCAACAAATACAACATCAGATGCATTATGCTGAACAAATTCCATGCAACGATCCAAATTCACTTCTCTTATACACTGCAAGTTCGGTTCAATGCCATATACATCAGCCACTTCTTGTAACCACGAACATTTTGAGTGCTGAATCAACGATGTTGTACAATAAACAATTGCTCTCGGCGGATTGCACGATGGAAAACTATATGCCGACGTAAAACCGACCGCTTGTTCCAAATAATCTTCAATGGTTATTGTTGTGTCTAATTGTTTTATATTCGTGTGATACGTTTCTAAAATGTTGAGCAATGCATTCTCCCAACTTTCCTCATCGTTGTGATTGAGATGCTCGAGCAGCAGTTGTACGGCTGGGGCGTATTCACGTTTAGCGGCAACGGCAGGCCACGGTTGTGCAACCCAAACACACGGCGTTGGATTGCTCAGTGGCTGTAGATGACCATCGATGCATAAGTAACTGTACATTTTTGGATCGGATTCTGCAGGCAAACCTGACAACTGAATCAACATGCACAGAAAACGAGAAAAAAAAAAAATAGTATTATACATGTTCTTTTTTCATCATTGTGTAATTCCAAATTGTAAAATGCTATAAACTTACTCCGAAATGTGCACGAGCATCACCCAAACGAACCCAAGCAACTTGCCCATCTCCGCTGGATAAACAGTATAGTGGTCCCATTCTACCCCAATATTTATCATTTCTGTTACATGTACTTGGATTATAGCATGCTTCACACAACGATGGATAACGTTTTTCTGTGTATACAAAATTAAATTACATGTAAACTGAATTTAATTGGCTGAAAATGTTCGTTGTTATTTACTTAAAACGGCGTCTTCTACTGGATCTCGAACCCATGAACCTGGTTTACAACTTGGACCGAAAAATTGTGAAGTAGCTTTGATTTTTGATTCCAGCGGTGACAAATCTTCTTCGCATTCTCTTGCAACCATTGTCGATTCCAAATACTGAAAAAAACAATAAGGCAAAACAAATGAGTGTTTTTCTTTCTCATTCTGATTCAATCCAATGAAAATACATACATTTGCCAATACATCGGTCCAATATTGTTCCATATCCTGTCCGGGATGACAAAAACGACTGCCACGTAAATCGTGCACCGTATTTATGTTGGCATCGTTTGCAACGACCGCCACTACTTCAAACTGAAATGGATCTAAGCAGATTTTTTGATTGTAATAAATGTGGTTGAGTTGTGTTTTTGACTAGATTCAAGTGCTGAACATTTACCGTCATTAAAGCGCATTTCAGATGTAACCAATACATCGAGGCCAGCCCATTTAGCGGCTATCAAATCTTCGGGCGAAAATACACCAAAATGTGCAGTACCTTTACTAATGCGACGCATACAATCCGTCCGATCTGCCCCAATGATGCATTCAATGTTTGATTTTGCCTTTAAAATCGGACAATTTTTGGTTGCCTTTTTATATGAACCGCGACCTTCCACAAAACATACACGTACTGATGCACGCACACAAATCACATAACGAAAATGAACGAGATAAAGAGAAAGAGAAAGAGAAATGCAATTTAATTTGTTAAATATATACTATCACGAAATGGAATCGTCGTTCTGTTAATAAATCTAATTAAGATTGCAAATTAAATTCAGCATAAAGAGGTCATTTCATTTGTGGCATGATACAAACCGACTGGTACTCTCAACATCACCATTTAATTAGCAAATTATGATTGTTTCTCTTAGTAAACATTCAACGGAATGTTGCCTACCATCAGAAGAGATACCATAGGTTGTGGTACAGTGTGACGTTTTCGCGTAGTCAGTTGGAATGTTTTCGTTTATGCTTTGCACTTATTTAAAAATACATCGAACAAAAAATTGCAATTGTCGGTGGAGAAAAAAACCCACAACAAACTTTCTTCGAAACGAGACAAAAATGACGTTAAATGACGTAACATATAAACTTGAATCGTTATAATCAAATCATATTTATAACTGCAAACATGTTATAGACTATAGCTTATAGTTGACCAGTTTTATTGGTTATAGATATTTTTGCGACTTTGAACCTAACTTTGAAATTTCACAATCGATTTAGTCGATGAATGTAAAAATAAAATTATCTCGAATAAATTATAATTATTTACATGGTTATTTATGTAAACAAAAGACAGAGAGCGAACAAAAAAAATTGTTCGGTGATATTTATGGAACAGGTTCCAAGAAATGAAGAAATAACACTTTGATTCTTTGCTTTGAATGATGGATCTCGTTAGTTTCGATGATGGCAAACATATTTTATATTCATTCTCTTTCGCTTTTAGAGGTTGCCAATATCAGTGCCAATCACAAAATAGATGTATGACGTAAAATACAGCCGAAGATGAATCATACAATTTTTTGCTTTCGTTTCGTTTGAAAATGATTTAGCACATTTTTTCACGGTGGACTGCACTAGCGCTTGATTCGGTCACGCAAACGTAACCGACGCCGAAGAGAAGGGGAATCAAAAGAGAACGAACGTTGACAGTGTCATGTATTACAATTTGAGAGAGGAAAAAAAATATGAGAGACTCTCAACTAGACTATGTGATCTACGGCATACATGCATATGACATTAATAACAACAAAGAGTGCTTAAACTTTAATATTTTAAGCATTTGCCCATGGCACTGACGTTATTGTAGCGGAGAAACCGATTAAACCCACATGACTGACTTGAATGATAGCGTCGTTGTGGTCGCCGTCGTCGTCGTGATCGCAGCGTATTCGAATGAGAGTGAGTGAAAAAAAAACCGGCGGGTTTTACCTGTTACGTTCACAGAAAATTCTATAAGGTCGTTTTTGGTTGATATCGCTAATATGCGTCGAATAAACGCAAGCATTTTATTATTTTAATCGATAGACTAAAATCAGAATTTATTGTGAATCGTACTTACATTTGCCATTATCCTTTTCGCCATTGGCATTAAAGCCTTTACCACCCAAAGCTGGTACAAACACACACGTACAGCACAGCAGTGCTATCGATAAAATAATCCAAACGGTTTCGGTCATTATGAACTTTAAATTTGCTAGTGTAGTTTTTATTCCAAATGTTATCCAACTATCCACTTTTCAGTTGTGTTTTATCTTTTTCTTTCTCGATCTCTCTCGATTTTCAACGAAGGCTAATTCTTCATGTTCAGTCGTGTCTTGCAGAACTTATAATGACATTTTTCAGTCTCGTTGCAAAATAGACAATACACTCATTGAAAACTTGTTTTTATTTCGCAACAAAATCGTTACACATTTTATTCACTTCTCACTCTCTTTTTTTTGCATTAAATCAAAAATGGTGTTAATCCAAAGATATACAATGCGTTGCACGAATATAAAATAAACAACCATTAATGATCATAAACACGTTGAACTTGGCCTTGTTACCGATAGAAAAAATAAAACGTAACTGTGAACAACACTCAAAATTCTTTTCCATCAAAATTCAATATCACTTTTGATTTCAAAAAAATCACACAAAGAAAATCCGTTGCCGAATCGAATTGAAAACGAGATTTTAAATGAGTTGTTTGTTTTTCATTTTGTATTCGGTGAAATAAAGCGTTGTATCGTGTAATACCTGACAATCAACATGAAATTTCGATTGGCCAGCAAGAGATCTAAATAAAAAACTAGTTTTCACGCGAAACGCCGAATTGCGACTAACCGCGATACTTGATCATCATATGCATGATATGTTTTGAGGTAGAGTGGTTAGCTAGGACATACTTTTATCGCTTCCACTTCCATTCATAAGCATTAAATTGTTATAACCGTCGACAACAACGCATACACTTAAGTCATTTGTTATTGTGTGAGTTTTAGCGAGAGAGAGAAAAAAAACACCACACACATTAAAGTGCTGCAACAAAGCAATTTGCAATATATAAAAACATACATTTATAAATAATGAAAAAAAAATCGAGTATCAATATTACCGTGACGTCACATGTGTTGTTGCCCATTTGGTGGTGGTATTTCAACAAGTCTCGTCTTGTTTTTTGACCATAAAAGTTGGAAATCAAGTCTTTCAATTTTGCTCAACATATTTGCTTTTTTTTTCTCTATACATATTAGTACACAGGGCACCTTGTTATCGTTTTGGTTGTTGGCTTGTTGAGGCGTTAATTTTTTTAATTGAATTCGGTACACTGTTTGTTTATGTTTAAGTTTAAAATTAAAATTATTCAAAAAAAATTGTCATACACCTTTAGTTCATTAGTATAGTCAACATTCGATCATGTGCATGCAATGTGTTGTCTTTTTGACTTTAACATTCATTTGTTTAGCACATATTCGATATCGTATGCAAAAGTATTCAATATGTGTCACATTACATGAGGTTCATCGCAATTTTGTCTTATGCATTGGCTTTTCGGTAGATATTTCCGGTGTATTTTGCGACATTGTTCCATTCTGATGAGCAAGTGGCACTGCTTAAATAATATCAACAAACTCATGCTGCTGTTATCTATCCAATTGGAAATATGCTCAAATATACGTACATCGTTTGTATTGTTGCCAACATCAGCACTCAACATTTGTATGTATATTGTATGCATTGGCAATTTATTTCTTTGAATTACAAATTTTGCGTAATTTTGTTGCGTGAACTCAAATGATTTGAAATTCCTGATATAAATATGCAACATTGACCATTTTGCGTGTGTGTGTGTCTGTGCAAAAAGTTTTTTTCCCACTTTTTCGATAAGTTTTGCCTGAATTCAAATAAATGTTTGGGAATCGGACGGAAGAAGTGACAAGGCGTAATAGAGTGTGACATTAATCAAATGGCAAAATGTGCAGCAGCATGCGGCTCCCAAAAATAAATGGCCTGAAAATCAATATTTTCTTTTGAGTTTGGCATAGCCAAGATAAAGTTTTCAAATCATGATGACATTGAGTACAATGAGCAGATGTAAAGATACAACAACACTTTTGCTCCTTCTGATTCTGAATCGTCCTTTTACAAGCCAACTAACCGATGATAAGTTTTTTTCGTTTTTGAAAGCGAGAGAGAGAAAGAAAGATAGAGAATTGAAAATGGAAAGAAGAAAGCGAGTGAGAAAGAAACGCAGAGACAAAATGAGCCAAAAAAGAGAAACGATATAGCATGTATTTCGGTGGCTGGACATAAAACGAACGTCTAGTTATCAGCATGAGCAAAAATTACATCACATTGAATTTTGTTGAAGCCACCGGAAAGTAAAACGAGCACATGACAAAATATTCTGCCAAAAGTTCTTATAATCGATGTGGAATATTTGTCACATTCAAAAGGCAAAAACACACATACACATACATGCATACTCTCAAACAAAAAAGGCAACCATCATCCTGTGAAACTGACAACGTTACCAACCATATTTAACTTCTACAAGGCACACAAAATGTCGAACAAATAAAACGAGAACGTAAACGAAGAAGACGCAGAATAAAAAAAAAACCATCGAGAAACTTTTCTACTTCCTTGGTCAGAGAGAAATAAAAAAAAATCAAAGGCACAAAATTACAGAAGTAAAATGTCAAAAATATAAAGTTTAATGAACAAACAAGACAAGTCAAGTCAACGATAAAAACTGACGAAGAAAAACGATAGTTATCAAAATTTATATCTATCGTTTTTCCAAAGTGGGCAGCGCTTCTTTATTATGCGAGCGCATCACTGCCAAGCAAAAATCACGTATTTGAGTGCATTTATCATTCGTTTAGCATTGCAGCTACATTTCTTGTGTGTTTAACTTTTTTTCTTCATTCATGAGATTAATGGTTTAAATAATGTTGAACATTCACCTGATTTTTTTTTATGACAAACGCAATGATATTTCACCTGTTTCACCTTATCGACTACCATTCAAGCACTTTTTTCGTCTAAAAGAGAGATTTTTCATTGCGCAATCAAACCGTTTCTTTTCATGTCTGCATATTCTTCTTTCAGGAAGAAGAAATAAAAAATGTTGTTTTCCATAAACTAACACAGTTTGTTAGCAACCATTAATTAATGGTGAAGTGAGATGAAACAAAAACAAAATGGAACTTATTTTTATATTTCCACAAAATTTTAATATTTCAAATGCGAGGAAGCAGTTGATTCCGATTGGACTACAACCTTAATCGCTGAATTTTTTCTTTTTCTATACCTTTTCGTTGAAATATGTTTTTTATTTGGTTGCAACAAAAAATATGTGAAATTTATCACTTGGCTTGAGTTCATCTTTTTGTTCGACGGTTTTTTTGTTTTTTTTTTTTTTTTATATTCTCGCGAGGAAATTAATTAAATTATATTTAATTTTTACATGTGATGCGGTTGGGCTACTGAGAGTAAAAAATGACCAAATGCATTTGATACGCTAACGTAACGACCAAATCATTATCATCGGTCTGCTAGATTTTCAATTCATTTTTCTTTTACATTTATAGCTACTCATTTCAATGCAATTATTATTCATGGAATATCCCGAATAAACAAAAACCCATCCTAACCAGTTTCTTTGTATACAAAGGATGCGGCATATTTTGTAAGTGATATTTTTTTATCGCTAAATGTGTCAGGCAGAAACTGTTCATCAAATTGATAGATACTTAACAACATGATAATGAGAAATTTCATCGCATCTCTTTGAAAACGATGTAAAAAATCCAAAAAAAATTTAACTCTTTCATTCGGAGAATCTAAGCAAACAAAAGACACACTCTACACATCTAGTTTTTTCTCTATTCTATTTCTCAACGCAAAAATGTCAAGAAAATCTTGTGCAAACTTCATAAACTACCTGAAGTAATATCGTCGCTATCATGATGCTGTAATTATCTTATGTTTGTATTTACGTCACTGAAAACAAAGACAGCATTGGAAAAGCAAAATAGAAAGAGATAAAGAAAAAGAAAATAAAGCCGCACAACGGAATGAATAGCACAGCACAAGTGTAGAGACATAAGACGCACGCAAGGACTGATACAACAGTAATTACCATGAAGCTTCTTTGCGATGAATGAAATCTCAGTTTTAAGAGTATGATGTCTTAATATCTTTCAAAAGAATAAAATAAACAAGACTAACTCTGAAGTATTTATCCCACGCATTCGTTGCGATATGGTCGAGAGCGCATTATGAAAAGAGTGTATGCAGAGAATTGGGTCACAAAAACACGTCAACATTCTTAAGTGTTATGAATTAAAGTTGAGGATCATATTTCGATAGATTCGAGATTTTGTCTCCGTAAAGCGTGCGCATCGTGTTAATCGTTACGATTTTCTTTCACAAAAGATCGAATATAAAGCTTTAAACGACGGCTATTCAGTAAAATATATTTGTAATGGCGAAAAAGGTGCGTTCTCTTTCTCCATCTAAGTTTGTTTCCTTTTTTGACTCAATAAAGACATGCTAATAGCTTATTGCACAGATGTCGACAACATATTTATGATGTGACTTCACCAAAACAGTTTTTCGCGAAACGTATACTGAGACGTTGCGTGATGTATGCGACGCCATTCGTCCGTTTATAACGATGTTGAAAAACGTCCACATTTCTATGCGGACGACACCAAAAAGCATCAAAAATGAAGCACAAAGACGAAAAATTCACATATGTTTGTATGTATCGCTAATAAAGAGCTCAAAAATAAAAAAAAGGAAACGTTATTTGTGCATAGCGGAAAACGACGGAGACGTCAAACGCCATATAAAAGCTCACGAAACGGTAAAATTGTTGAATGTCCTCAAAGATACTCAATAAAACAGTATACACACACTGGAGCGTAGAAAAAAAAAAATAGATGAGACGAAATTAAAAATGTTACAAAAGAAAGAAGAAGCTGGAGAAAAAAACCCACACTGTATTTGACAAAAATGATGATGCGAGCACAAGATAAAAGAACATAATGCACAAAAAAACCAACACACAAAAGAGAGACATTGTACGAAAATTAAGGACTCATTAATATAGACGAGATCTTATCTCAAGCTTTCCTTTTTTTACGAAAAAAAAGCATAATTTCTATATCGTTCCACTCACGAAATTTGCTCATCCGTTCGCAATTTTGTTAGTTCGTCGCATATGTTCTTTGTTCTCGTCTTTCGTTTCGCGTGATAGAAAGAGAGAGTGGAGAGAGAACGCACGCTTTGGTATCATGTTTGTCCTTTTAGCTGCACATCTTTTCCTGTGTCTTGTAAGCGAAGTGGTGTAAAGAAATGAATGCATGAGGCAAAACAACATAAAAGAACAGGCTGAAGCAACTCACGAAAATAAACACATATGAAGCGATATATAAACAAAAAAGGAGCACTTTTAAATATCAAATAACGTTAGTAGCAGGGAAGTGATAATATGAAGAGAGAGAGAGGGAGAGAGAGAGAGAGAAACGGAATAAACTATGTAAATGTTGGTGACTTTTCTTTTCATGAACTAGTTCAGAAAAGCGAAATAAAAACGACATTCCTCATGTAATTTTGAACCAATTAAATCGTTTTCATAACAATCAACAATTGTTTATATATAAAAATATATTTTTACGCAATTTTTCAAAACTTATGTATAATTTTGATTAAATTTATTCAATGCAAATATGCACGACCTTGGTCAATAAAAACGCATTTGTATTTCATCAAACACAATGCTCTCAAGATAATTCGAAATTCAGAGCCATCTCTGTTTCAATGGGCGTACCCGTTGAATCAAACTTGATGACTGAAAAAGCTCTAGAACTTATTTTGACAGCTTGACATTGATTTGTAATAGAACGCAGACTCACTATTACCTCTTCTTAATCAGTGGAAATTTTTCATAACAACAAAACAATCCATTTGAGCTACAGTCGTCATATCTAACACGGCAGTCAAAGGCGCTATCTAATTGGTTATCTTTTGCAGCATTAATTATTTGTTGACTTGCAATCAATATCAATTCCGTGAAACAATGGCCACTGAAACAGAGAATTTAGATAAATGTTTCCAAGTAGTGTCTGATATTGTGCAAAAAGCCGGCGATGTAAGTTAAATTAATTTATTCAAAAATCCAATTAATGAATGAAAATAATTGTAATTTTCGTTGTAGTTGATCGCCAGTCGCTTTTGGAAGAGTAAAAATGTGAAACAAAAGTTGAGCGATATTGACTTTGTCACCGAAACCGATCAAGAGGTTGAAAAATTGTTGATTGATACACTGACTGCCGAATTTCCACATCATCGGTATGAAGCACATGGTGCTAACCTATTTTTTTCTTAAAGTTTTTTTTTTAAATGTTGATACTTAAAAAAAAAATGTAGTTTCATCGGTGAAGAAGCAACAAGTGAAGGTGCTAAATGTGAATTGACCGATAGTCCAACGTGGATTATAGACCCAGTTGATGGAACACTGAATTTTGTTCATAGTTTTCCGCATTCGTGCATATCGATTGCTTTATTGGTCAACAAACAAGCTGAAATCGCAATCATTTTCAATCCAGTTCTCAAGCAATTATTCACCGCCCGACGGGGAAAAGGCGCATTTTACAATGGTGACCCTATTCATGTATCCGATAAAAAGGATTTATCACAAGCATTGGTGATGGCTGAATTCGGAACCAGTCGTGATGACAAGAAATTGGACATCACGCTTGATAATTTCCGGAAAATTACACAAGCATGTCATGGGTAAGGTGATTTTTATGCAAATTCATTCATGCCAAAAATAAAAAACTCTCTTCAAAATGTCAATTTCACAATAGAACCCGATCATTGGGATCGGCAGCTCTGAATATGGCTCATGTCGCACTCGGTGGTGCTGATGTTAATTTCGAGTTTGGCATTCATGCGTGGGACGTAGCAGCAGGAGATCTAATCGTCCGTGAAGCAGGTGGTGTGGTATTGGATCCTTCTTTGGGACCATTGGATTTAATGTCAAGACGTGTTCTATGCGCCAGTTCACTTGAACTCGCAATTGAGTTCAGTAAATTGATCACACAGTACTATCCAGAACCGAGAGACTAAGCCTCTTCAATTATATGTATTCCTACTGGGGTTAATTGACTTTAATAAAATGTTGGTGAAATGTTAGCGGATAATATCCATTCATCAATTATTGTACCACAAAGTTCAGACAATTATTTTGTATAAATATTAATATTCAAATGTATGTATTCTATATAAACATATAAACGTTGAAATAAATGGTTCCAATGGTTAAAATTCAACGATCATTTTTATTTCAAAAATTTGAGCGAATATCGATTTTGCCGAGAAAAAAGTAAGTCAATTATCAAATGGAGAATATGTATAAGAGTCGATTGTGTGTGACATATTATTTGTCTATTGGAAAAATTGCGCTTGTATGGGTGGGCATTTGGTATATCAAACGAGTACGTTCCCTACCGAACCAGCCACGTAAAATAAAGTTGTTTGTCTGTCAAATCACCGATGTGAAAGTATATGGTAATTTTTCTAATTTATTAATTCAAATTTCTATTGACCCCCTTAAGCTATATGGAAAATGTTTTTAAATTTGATTAATTTTCATAGGAACTTCATTTAAATACCCGACATTATGTGCAATTTTGATTTTTCTTTAAATTGTATGCAAATTCGCATCATTCAGGGGCATGGTGTCAAAGATAGCTTTTACTTGTATTTTTGAATATTTCCATGTGAATTATTTTGTGTAATTTTGAATATTATATGTGAAAATTCCATATATAAAATGATTGTTCTAATTTTTATTTGAAATTGAAATCGATTTTTGGTTTAAAAAGAAAACGAAAAAGCTTCAATCGTTGTTTTGGTCGTCTTCACACAGTTTTGAGGGGAAATCTATGACGCGTCGTGAATTTAGTGGTGGGGAATTCATTTCAAGTGAAACGTATAAATAGAGTGCACCATCGGTGCCATTAATCAGTATTGTTTCTATTGTCACTGTGAGCTGAAGTAACACTACGAGCAAAAATGACTGGACGCGGAAAGGGGGGAAAAGGTTTAGGAAAAGGTGGAGCAAAACGTCATCGTAAAGTATTGCGCGATAACATTCAAGGCATTACAAAGCCAGCCATCCGTCGTCTGGCCCGTCGTGGTGGTGTAAAACGTATCTCTGGATTGATTTATGAGGAGACGCGTGGTGTATTAAAAGTTTTTCTGGAAAATGTCATCCGTGATGCCGTCACCTACACCGAACACGCCAAACGTAAGACAGTCACCGCCATGGATGTTGTGTATGCATTGAAACGTCAAGGCCGAACTTTGTACGGTTTCGGAGGTTAAACGCTTTTAATCATCACAACACACGATGAAAAAAACCTAAACTTCAATTGGACAACAAAAGAACAACACAAAAAAAACGGTCCTTTTTAGGACCAATAAATAATTTATTATAAAGAATTTGAAAAAATCAATAAACTTTGAAAAAAACAAATCAAATAAAAATTTGGTGGATTTTTTAAAAAAATTCTTCATAAGTCACGATTTGGTGCCCCAATTAATTAATTGGGGCTATTTGAAGTAAATACCATTCATTGGTATTGAGTATTGAATGGATGAATTTACTTGGCTGCTGGCTTTGGTTTCTTAGCAGCGGTGACTGGTTTTTTAGCTTGAGCTTTCTTCGGTTTGGGTGCTTTTACTTTTTTCGCAGTTGGTTTACGCGACTTTTGTTTCGAAGCAACCTTTACCTTGATGGATTTCTTGGCCTTGGTTGTTTTTGGCTTTTTAGCTCCAGCCTTCTTTACCACGGGCTTCTTCTTCTTTACGACTTTTGGTTTGAGCGATGCAGCCGACAATTTGAATGAACCGCTTGCGCCTTTGCCTTTGGTTTGCACCAAATAACCACTTGCTGTTCCTTTCTTCAAGTACTTTTTGATAAATGGTGACAATTTATCAGCATCGACCTTGTTGTTTAGGGCGATGTACTTTTTGATAGCTTGCAACGATGAACCGCTACGTTCTTTCAACGCCTGTATGGCATCGTTGACCAATTGCGAAGTTGGCGGATGATTTGGCTTTGATGCTGGCTTCTTCGCTTTTGGTGCCTTGATTTTTGCTGCAGTTGGAACGGCAGCAACTTGAACTGATCCTGATTCGACCATTTTTTTTCTCCTTTCACAATTACTTTTGAATAAAAAAACACTTTGTTTATAACTTTTGAACGCACCAAGCAGCTATTGTTGGTATATCAAAATAGACCGTACCTTTCGGAACGAACAACGTACAAAACAGACGACTTTGAACGGTGACTATATGAAACATGATTTTTTCGCTTTACTTTCCAAATAAAATTATGCATTAAAAATCAATGAATGTTTGCCCTTTTTTCATCTGAAATTCATGAAAAGAACCAAATCATTATCTATGACTTCAATTTTGAATTGTCATTTACATTAACGCCGAATAAATTCAATGAATTGTCCAAATTTATGAAATTTTTATGAAAATATTTTTTTTGAAATCAATTTTAATCAGTTAATTGTGGGAGAATTTTTGTGATTTTTCTCTTATTCAAGAGAATAAATATTAAAGTTTATGCTTGTGCAAAAATTACATCCGAAATTGCAGAAGAAACAGCCGGGAAATGTATTTGAACACAAACGTAAGTCATACAATATTTGTGGCGTAGTTAAAAAATTGAATCACATTTCTCTTTGCGGTTCACATACTTCTAGTATGTCTTCATACTTTTTTTATACTCTTTCTTTTGATAGTGTAAATATTGGGACATTATTGAATATTCTTTATTTGATCTTTGGCTCAGTTTGTCAAGTTTTTTTTTAAATATATTTCTAAATATTTCAAGAGATGTATATCCAGGTTATGTATCTTGTTTGTTTGGACGATACACATCATAGAGAAACGACCTTAATGCAATCCCATTCAAATGCAATCAATACGTCAAAATCGCTCTACATATTTGATAAGTACGCATTTCAAAATTTATTATTGCCGCTCTTTTACATTTCATGCATTTGACTGTCCTTTTTAATACATATTCATTCAATGATCATATTACATAATTAAACCGGACCATTTTTTCACCTACTATATAGGTTACTACAAAAACTGATAAGAAAGACCGTTTGTTCTTATCTATTAAATAAAGTTCAAAAAATTGCATTTAAAGCAAAACACAACTTTTTTAGAGTCATTAAACAATAATTCGAAAAAAATAAAAAAGAAAATTTCGCCCAAAAAAAAATAAAACCATGACTTGTAGTTTCATCGGCGTTAATCTTCATTTCATTGACTAAAATACATAAAAATCTCTTGGAATCAGTGCATTTATTGAATGTGCGTAGTAGTTTCCTTTGTTTTCATTCTTCATCTGCTGAATGGACTGAAGAGAATTTAATGCGCATTTGTGCTCAACTGAGGAAAAATACCATCAGCTGTTCATGCCAACAAATTATTCTATCGCAAAATGTTCCATTAAAACTGTTTGAAATCTATTGATTTTTTAAGATCATAAAATATTACCCAATGAATCGTTTTTATTGTATTTTTTCACCAAAGGATGTTTCATAACATGATGTTTTTGCTCTACTGAAATATATTATAATATAATTTTTTTCAATCTCCATGAGATTTTTTTTGGTTGTTGTTTACATCGTAAATTCCATTTTAGTAAGTGAATTATTTCAATAGATGGCGCCGTTCAAAAGCCAATCAATCGTGCAAATCACGCCCATTGTAAGCGAATGCAACACACCAAATCAGAGAACAGCTATAAAGACATAGAGAGACTAAAGATCTGAAAAAGTAATTAAAAAAAAAGTTTTTTTTTATTCACAACCCTGAAAAGTAGAAAAATCTGATATGTTTTTTTATGCATAATTTTAAATGGCGAAGAATGTTTATTGAATTGAATTTGCAAGGAATGACCTAGATACGTGCACGCCATCTATCGAAATATTCTGAAACATAAAAACGTAAACAAAATGCCCACAACACAAGCCATTCGCAAAACAAAGAAGAATAACAAATATAAATAACACACAAATGTGGATACTGAACATTCTTTGTATTGACTATACTTTAGACAACAAAACAAAAAAATCGTTGGAGCATTGTTTACGAACCGTTTGATCGACATGAAAAATTCATGTTCGCACATGTGAATGATATTTACAAATTTTATGCTATAAATACATGATTAATTGAGTGTTAAGGGACTATGGAACTTCATAGAATGTTGTTTATAAATGAGTATATTTGCGCATAACAAAAACAGCATAAGGTGGGATCTACGCAATAATTATTATGAAACAGGACAAACGCACGTTCGATATTCACTGTTTCAGATGTTTTGTATTTTACTGAATAGATTTCCGCTTGGCGATATTTGAATGAACTGTAAATCATGTTTCATATTGAAAACAATGGTATTTCTTTGTTAGATTTTATGCATAGAGATAAGAAATTTGGAATGAATTTAGATCAAGTTCTTTGTTCGACGCGAATCACTTTTGTAATTTTATAAATAGAAAATCATTTTTATTGAAAAAAAATTAAAAATGAAAGAAAGCATAAATGTATAGATTTTTTTAGCGATTAAAAATACTCATTTTAACCTACCAAAAAAAAACTACAAATATAAAATTCTATCTCAAAAATAATTGATGACCCATTTGTTTGAAATGCTTAACTTTTGAATGAAAACAATGACGTAAATCAATTATCCTTTAGCGAATATCCTAGAGACGGAATTAATATGCAAAATTCTCATTTGAATGTATTACATAATGACTGTGTTTGACGTAATTGCATTGAGGTCATTACCATTTAAAATCAGGTGAACAAACCTGGCAACACTGCATCATTCATCGATTTTCTATTTCCATTATAATTTTCATTGAAAAATACCATTTACAGTGCAAAAAATTGGTATAAAAAGATTAGATAAAGTTCATTAATGCGATGCCAATTTAAAACGCAATAGACAAGGAATCGAAGCTTTATAAAAATTAGTAAGCGACATAGAGAATTGTAGTGTATTTTTAGTAATAGCTGAGAACTACAATGCGCTCTACGTACGCATTCGATTGCATTTTTCTTATACGAATTTTCGATGTTCGATGGTAAATCCTATACGAACATTGAAATGAATTATTCTTCTTTGAATTGTAAGTGAGTTTATTGCATAAATGATGCATTTTCATAATTTAATTTGATTTCAAAAAGAATATTTTCAAAGAAATCTCAGAATTTTCGGCATTTCATTCGAATTTTTCAATGAAAATGAAAACATTTTTCCGGTATAGTTTGCAATATTGAAAATTTGTTTATTTCCAAAATTTTCAACCAAAAATCGACCAAACAATTTCGAATTTTTTCAATTAAATTTTAATTCAAATATGAATTATCAAATCAACTTTCATAGAGTAGACGCTTAAAGTAAATTATTTTGTTTACGATACGTTCCGAAAGGGACGGTCCGATTTGATATACCCAGAACAGCTGCTCTGTACAGTGTTCGAAGTATTTGTGTAAACAAAGTGATTTTTTGTCCAATTTTCGAAAACAAGCGTTTAAGAAGTTAATTCAGTGAATTCGAGATGGCTGCTGTAAAAAAGACGAGTGCAAAGAAGCCAGCTGCCAAGAAATCGGCCAAAGCAAAATCAACCGTTGCCAAGAAAGCTGGAGGTATCAAGAAGGCACGTAAACCAGCAGCGAAGAAACCAAAAGCACCAAAACCGAAGAAGGCTGCAGCTAAGAAACCAGTCACCGCCGCCAAGAAAGCAGCTAAAGCCAAATAAATCTAAGCTTCGTTCATCATTTCGTGAATTAAATTTTCATATAAAAACAAGCCCTAATTTTATTTTTTTGAATTAGGGCTACCAAATGATTTATTTATAGAGATTTTGTAAAAAATCGATAAATGGTTTTTTTCTCATCGAGTTTAATTTACGCATAATGCGTTTTAAATTTTAATTACGAATTATTTTTGCCGAATAAATATTTTTTTTCGTTCCATCATCATAACGCTTCAGTTCGAATGTAGGTCATAAGAAAAATGTGAAATACAAAAACAAAAATAAACAAATTGCTTGTATGACAACTTGTTCATATTCAACTCAAATCGCATCCATTTATTGTTTATATTGTCATAGTATTAGCATTTGTGCTCACGAGCGAAGTCACGACAACAAAACCAAAACATAGATGCACGAATGCGCAATAGACAAGAATTGTATACAATAGAAAATTGAGGTTATGACCATCATTATTTACGTTCTTAATTCAAAATGATATAAATTTTTTTCTAATTTTTTTAAGAAAACCTGTGTGATTTTCTCATTTTATTTTTGTTATGAGCGAAATTCGTGTACTTTTTTTTTCGTATAAGATGTATATTGAATAAACAACATTTGTACAATTTCAATGTTTACTATTTTTATTTTCGTTGTTATTGCGTGCTTTTTTGACAGGAATCACGAAGGTTAAACACACACACGCACGTATATACACACAGAAGAACAATAACAAAAAATAACGTATGGCAAGTATTTGTTTGGTATTTTTGTCGCTACTGTGTCTAAACGATATACTCGCTTAAATTTCAACTAATGACCAGTAATTTTAATGATCAGCTACACTTTGACTTTCCGTCGTTATGGAATTGAAAATAAACTATTAAAACAGAATTTTTAAATCATGAAACTTTCTTTTCAAAGGGAATGAAATATGTGGAAAAGTCGTGAAAGCTATCAATGTTTTTCTCGAAATTTTCAGGAAAATAAAATTCAAATTCATTGATAAAAATTATTCGTTGGATTCAGGTGCATTGCAATCTTTTTTCTTACAACTATCTAACTGTGACCCCAAACATCTTGAAAATGATCCAAAATCACTCCATTTTGTATTTAAATAGAAATATTGGCTCAAATTACGTACCTTAGACTCTTATTAGCCAAATTTGAAAAATTGTCATCAAACTCGCGGAAAACAGAAAAAAATAATTATAACAGATATTGTCAAATTTAGTTCTATTCAAATTTCGGTTTTATCTTAACTAATAATGACAAGTTGAAAATAACATTACGCAATTTAAAATTTGTCTTCTCGCGTTGTATATCAGTTATTTTCTTGTGATACAAGGACTTGTATATCTTAAAATATTAAAACGATTCATTTTGTTAACAAACACAAAAGTTTCGTTCAATTTTGTTAGTGTTCCTATTACCATCTGTATTTCTGTACAGATGGTAAAATACCCTTTTATTTTGATTATTTTTGACTAAAAAGTTTACCCAAAATAAAATCTAAAAAATTGTTTAAAAATATTATATATTAATGAAAAAAAAATCTTACCAATGAATTTTTGCCAATTTAAGCAATTTTATTTTACATACAAGGAAATCGAATTGATATTATTAGACGGAGTAAACACTGATTTTTTTCAACTTCATACAAATGAAGAAACGAATAAAGAGAAATTCAAATCAAGGTAATGTGAATAATTTTTATGACAAAAATGCATTTGAAATATTTCGATGTCGAATAAAAAGAAATAAAAGATATGCAATTTTGATGTAAACAGAAAATGCGGAATTTTGAGCATCTCAAATGAAACTACTGAAACAATGAACGTGAACGACTCCAATACAATAGTTAGCAGACAACGGCATCATTTGCCGTATTAATTATGAAAGTTCCGGAAATTCTTTTATAAATGTGTTTGTTTTGTGTTTTTGTTTCTTTGCCAACTGAAAATCAAGTTGTTGTGTGAATTGCTAAATAGATTTTATTTGGTATATTCATCCTCCTCGCGATGTGTTCCCACAATTTGAAAATTCAGTTCATTATTATACAGAAATATGCACCAAATCTACTTATCCCCCCATTGTTATTCGAATCGCATTGTTTCGAATTCATCTGTGTCGACAATACAATACTGGGGCGTTAGTGGTACGATGCTCTTAAAATCCAATTGTATCTGCCATTGCTTCGTCAGCAAAGAATACAATGACAATAAAAAAGAGAATTATTATAAAAAAATATAGCAGTAAATATAGTGTGGTAAAAAGGTGATTTTCTTTTGAATCACAGTGGCTGATTGGTTGTTTTGTTTTCCGCTTCGGTGAGCAAAGTTTTAACTCAGCCAACCATTAAAGTCGTTTGCGATGTGAAAGAGTTAGTTTTGGCATTCACATGAATATTTTGGATCAACCTCCAAACTAACCAACCCAAAACATGACAAGGCGGCTTCTTCTGTATCACTCGGACAAAAAAAAAAGACGAAAAATAAATGATTACGAATCGACTACGGTGTTTGTTTTGCTTTTGATTTATAAATTCATGTATTTTTACTTAAAAAAAATGAATATTTTCTTTCCATCATTTGATCATTACAGTCAGGAATGGGTGTTGATATGCTTAATTTCTATTAAAATCAAATCATTTTCTTAAGAATATATAGTTTTCCATTCTGTATAAAAATGATTAAAATTTATCTCGTTCTTTGTCAATAAATTTGGCAATTGGTTTTGTTCTATGATATTTTTGTTGTTTTTTATTTCGAAAGTTATTTCGAATTTGCTGTGGGTGTGTGTGTGTGTGTGTGTGATCGCTTGGTCGCACAAGGCTATTATAAATTCTACATTTTGAGAGTTAATTCATGAAAATTCGTATTTCTATTTGTTATTTTCTTTCATCGATGTAAATTCAAGTAGATGATTACATTCATATGTTTGTTGAGTGTTATCGAAATGATGCGTTAAAATAGAGAGATGTGTGCACTGAAGTACATGTTTGATTCGAGGTAAATCGATAGCGATCACAGCATCCGTTTCATAAAATGGTTGCGAAAACGTTTTGAAAATGTTCAATGCCACCAGACACTGCACCAAAAACAATTCATTTGGCTTATCTATCAGACGGACAGTCGATCACACGGCAAATTATGAACATACAGACACAAAATAATGATAGTAAAGTGTAAAGAGAAACAAAAAAAAATCTTAATTGTTCTTTTTGATACGTCTTGAATCGGTTGAGTCTCGATAAATGTTTCTAAATTGAAAACAAAAAAAAACGTTTTGCGTTGTTTTGCGTCGTTAACGCGATGTAATACAATTTTATCTTGTAAAATTTCTAAATTAAATTCAATGACGTTTGTGACTACTAAAAATATATATGCGAGAAAATTTGTGAAGGAAAATAAAATATGATCGAATAAAAATTTGTTCATAAGCTATCAAGTTCCTTGAAATGTTTTGAGACTTTTTGAGATTAAATACGAGTAAATACAAATAAAAAAATATCTACTGATTGAATACATATACAATAAGAAATGATGAAATACAGAGAAACAAAAATCATTAGAATCTCGCTCTTGAAAATATCTATATATGTCAATATCTAAAATGATATTTGCCTTTATAATACAATTAAATCTAGTTGATGTTGTTTTTTGTTCAGTAAATTTGTTGCATCTTTGTGTCTTGTAACAAAAATACGAGTGATTGTGAATAAAAAGATTACAATTTTATAATTAAAAAATAGGGTGATGCGCGTACCTACTCATCATGTTCACAAAATACATTCAACAAATTGCTTGAGATACCATTTTAATCCGAAAGTCGACAGCAAAAAAGGGAAATATGAATCTCTTTTGGTCGCGAATATCAGCGAAGAACAAAAAAAAAATAATCGATGCAAATGGAAAAGAATAATATAAAACAAATGTCTTTTGTTTCTATAAAGCTCAAGTCTATGATAGGCCGGAATGTGAATTCCACGCTACATTTGAAATAGATGGCAGCGCATTTTGTGTGACGCTTGAATTGCTAGTGTTATTATTGTTGTTGTTGCTGTTGGTGCTGTTATTTGTTGTACGACCTCGCACCAATTCACTAACCGGCGCACATTGTGGACGCGGTCCTGGCTCCGGTGTATACGTAAACGTTAATCCGGTTGCATAAATTATTCCGTCATTTCTAACGAGCGAAATTGGCACTTGCTTGGGCTGACGCACCTGAATCGAAAGAATCGAGAAACATCAAAATTAAATAAATGATAAGTAGAATTATCGATTTGAAACAACAACAAAAAAAAAAATGATATTCCATAAAGCCAACGTTATTAATGGTTATTCTTCTAATTGCAGCAAATTGTTAAAAATTAATTGATTCCAAGTAAGAAGACAAGCAAAAGTTGAAATCAAATTTTCTAACTAGATTACACAAGTTAATTAAAGGAAACGTTTTCGAATGCACGCAATTGTCGGATCGAGTCAAGTAGCTGTAAAAAAAAGTTTTTTTTTCTCTTCTATACTTTAAAACAATGGGTATATGCGCGAACATTAGCTTGTTATTTGAATAAAATGAATGAATAAATAATAGCTGAGATTTTGATTAGTATTTCCATTTTATTACGGTATATTATAACTCTCTTTCACTGGAATCAAATCAAGAAAGAAATATTGCATGTGTATGTGCTTTTTTCTATAAATATCTTCTTTTTTTTTCTTTTAAATAAAACTGAAAAATTGATTTGAATGAATATAATGCCGACGATGCCTCTATTTTAACGGTTTCTTTTGAAAAATATTTGTTTTATTATTATTTTGTTTTTGGTGAAGGAAAAGAGCACTTACCCAGAGCCATTCACCGCGGAATTCTTGAATATCGGGTACAACGCACAGCAAAGTTTCGGCACATCTGTACATAGTCTCAGCTTCAACGTCACCAAACCAAACCTGTAGGTGCGGTGTAAAATTATCACCAGTGAGTTCGAGCATCGCAACATCGCCGCCACCATTCAAATTCAATGAGTTCACAATTGGCACAGGAGTTACTGGCGACCTGAAATTAAAAAACCAAAACCAAAATCAATCATCAACACAATTTCTCTTGAATAATTAACGACGACAGGCCACCACAGTCTAGTATTGATTCGATTTGAATGGAACATTGAAACTGTTGCACGTTTGAGTGTGGAGTGAGTCTTTCATTGCGGTAGCTATCGATCCATTCGATTGAGTTCAATAAAGCTGTTGTGAACAGTTTAAAACTGATATCAAAGCCACGTTGGTCATTAATTATATACGACCATACCTTGTGTTACTTTAAAATTATCTACTTAAATTTAAATGATTTTTGATGTGGTTTCTAGTTCAATTTGAAAGTTGTTTTTTCAACAAATTGTGGGAAAAAACTTCTAAAATCGAAAAAGTCATTTGTTTGAACTTGTATGGATTTCTTGGATTTAATTCTTTGCAATTATAATGTGATTATGTATATTTTGAGACAATTCTAGCTGACAACAATACACTCGCATATACAAATGCGTACACATGAATTCCCTATAACTGTACCGCATTAAATAAACATATTCCGAATGAAATGATGAAAAATTCAATGGAATCGATGAATATGAAAAAATAATCAAAGTATAATTTGCTTACCGTACGGGTCCCATTCCTTCGTAGAATTGATATTCAGCTTTATCGGTGGATATGATAGTCCAGCATGCGCCATCGTTAATCATTTCTTTGTTTGGCTCTTTTGGACACGGTGTCGCTTGAAATTGAATGATTTTTTCTTGTGACAAACACAAATACATGCGTTCCGTGTCTTTCATATAAAATGCACATTTATGAAGCTGCGAAACGGGATCGTCGGCTTCGAGCAATGCCATTTGCTTGTCGACTTTTCTTATAATTAAACGAGGTAATGCCATACCCGTTACCGAACAGACTAGTTTCACTGTTGCACCATAATGAACATAACCATCCTTCACCTGATATCGAATCAACAAAAAAGAAATAAATATCGAATTCATCGTAATTTTCAATTTCTTAAAAAAAAAAATTCTGGTTTTGAAATAAATCTCTCAAAAACTTACAAGAAACTCTTCCGATTCGCTTTCGTTGTCGTCGAGTAAGTGAATTTTGAAAGCGCCCCATTGCGTTGAGCTCGCATGAAAATGTCCATTTTCCACATGTAAATATCGTGTGGACACAGTTTGTGAACGAAGCCGATTGAATAGCGCTACATTTGTTCCACTTGCTATGCATAGATCGGCATTTTTCAATGATTGTTTCTTCTTCGATGGTTTTGATATGACTTTAATTCGTTTTGAATGAAACATGCCGATGTCGTGACCATTGCCGTAAAACATTTTCACCGATAGCATAAAATGTTTTCGCTTATCCGAATCGGATATGAATAATGTTTTCGCTGCACAATACTGTTTGCCATTATTTAAATCCAATTGTTGCATATCCTGATCGGAATTACCAATACCAATGAATGCGCACAGTTGAGATCCTTGCTCCGTTTCACCATTTCGAATCATCTCCTCTTGTCGATGGCGCCAACCATTGCCGAACAAATAAATGCACGGCGGCGGGCAGAAAAAGCGTTTTTCGTTTCCATAGGATTTTTGTGCCACCTGCAAAAAAAAACAGATATATTAAAAATGATAGAAAACTTCGGAAGGTCGTTAAGTAATTGCAATAAAAATCGATTTTAATAAAAATGCATCTTGTTTGAATTAAAAAAAACGATTCTTCATTTTTCTTTTAAATATCAATATTAAATCGAAAGAAATGTTTTTTGATTTTTTTGTTTTTAAAGTTCAATTCCAATTTTAATGCCATGAATTAGTTTATTTGTCGAAATGTTAGCCAGAATACTGTTTGTGATGTTGAAATGCCAAAGTTTCAATTCGAAAATGCCACCAATTAAACCATTTGTAGCGATTTTTGCTCGGATAATTGCATTTTGTGCAATTGCATATTGGCAAACTGCCGTACAAATTCCATTTTGCTCTGGTAAATTAAAGATGAACATTGAACCAGCTGTAAAATAATCAGTACATCGATGCAAATAAAATAAATCGATTTTCGATGATTTTAACGTTGCGGCCAATGTAGTGTTTTGATTTGAATATGCCGCCACTAAACATGGTTGTAATGCTATTGTTTCAACACCTTGATTACAGTTCTCATCACTTTGATTGCAGTTCAATTCGATTCCGCATTCGAAATTTGATGTTGGTCGTGCCAATAAAGACAAATTACTCGAAATTGGTTGGCCATTCGAAAAGAGGGTCGATGACGATATTTGTGTAAAACGTCCAAACCAAGCCACACTCAAAATATTCCGCGTTGAAATCGGCGATGATAATTTTTTATGGAAAAATGACGCATTTAAAATACTTGGAGCAAAAATTTGATTTTGTAATTTCACTTGAACCGACGCCAACGGATGATAGTAAATGCATAATCTTGATATTGTGGGCGAAACAAAATTGGACGGTGAATAATTGATCTCAAAATGAACACCATTTAATCTGGTTGTATTTCCATTGAAATGAGTGTAAACGTTTTTATCGAATTCGATTGATTTTTTACACGTAGCATTAAATCCGTTCAACCATTCGGGGTGGATAAGCAGTGCATGTTTATGTAAACATGATAAATTACACAGATTGAAGTGTACAATTGCTGGTTTATTTGGATTACATGTTTTCAATGGCGATTTTCCACAAGTTTTTTGTGACTTTGAAAACATTTTGATTCGTATTTGGGAATTTCGGAATTTTGTATGTGAGAATGGCTACTTCGATTTTGAAGTAAGCAAAAAATTCTACAAACTCACTTCAACAAACAAATTATTTTAAAGCGTCAATTTAAAAAGAATATGCTGACATTTGATTTTATTATTACAATTTCTTTTAGCAAAATGCTAAAGTGGCTAATTTCACAGTATTCATTAATCTTTGTTTCTTTTAGTGCTATAGTTGAGATGAAGCGGTGTTTATATGAAAATTGAAATGAAACTATTTTGATTTACCTTTGCATGTAAAATAACTATGACTTTATCGTTACGGTCTCGCATATATCGTTCCATAGCTTCTCGTGTTAATCTCGTGTCTTCTTGTAATCTGAAGATTGAGTTGGAATTTGTGTTTGTCATCGATCCGCTTCCAGCGGGACCCGGTACCACGGCTCCGCCGCCAATCCGGGGCAGTAAAGCCTGTGATGGTGGGCTCGGTGGTAATTGTGCGAATCCCGGCAAACCATACTGATGTGGCATTTTTATCTAATGTGTATTTTAATACACGATTATTTTTTTCCCCAAAAGAAAACTCTCAAAGTAACTCTCAGCGTCTCACACTCTGTCTTCCTCTCTCGTTTGATGTAATACAAAGCACACAACAAGTACGAATAAACAACTCAATTTTTTTTATGTTTCTTTCACCATCACGAAAATAATCAATCACAAATCATATTTAGCTGTCTTCGTCCACATCGGCCATTGATTTTCGGATACATGTTTCTCAATTAGTTAAGTGCATTTAATTGCATTTTCTTGTGACTTTTATGCACACGTCCGAAATGTCTAAAATTCTTTCTTTTTGTTTATGTTGACAATAAAAGACTCAAAATATTTACTTTCTAACCTCACTTTTTGTGCTTATCTCTCTTTACGCGTTGAGCACAACATTCATTCCAATAATGTACAACGGACAATGTTTTTAGTGTTCGTTCTCTTTCTCTCTTTGCTTTGGCTGCGAATGAACTGTCAAATTTCCAATGAATGGTCGGTTTTTTTTCTGTTCACTTCAATTCGTTCTGTTGTGTGCAGGTTTAACACACAGCACTCAGTTCGAATGGCATAGAAAGAGACGACGAAAAACAACTTTTAACAACATCTGCATTTATACAATTATATGAACGAAATTGACAGACAAACAAAAATGCTCAAATTGAATGCATTTCACTGTGCATCACAATATAAAAAAAATGAAATGCCGAATTTTTGTCGTCGAAATTAATTGGAACAGAAAATGAAAAAAAAAACACAAACAAACTGAATTGAATGAAAAGATTGTAGAAAGAATAAAGAACTTGGCGTAATTTTACTATCAACAATACGCCAAATGCAACAATGAATTGTTTCGGTCTACGTTCTTCATCGTTCGAAATACGACTGGAAGGAATTTTGTTTGAATGATTCCCTTGTCGAGTATGTTTTGTCGGTTTTGTGTTGCCGCACATACGTATTTATGTGGTTGCATGGATGTATGTGTGTTGCGTGCAAGCGGGAATGTACGAGAGTCTATAAACAATTGAAAAGAGACAACCGTATGCTTTGCCATACACACGATACACATGCGGTGTCATTACGGTGGATGTTGATCGTACACAACGTTGATGCCCATTGTTTGGAAGTTGTTGTTGCCTGTATAATTTTTTTGTGTATCGTTTCATTTTGGAATTCGGTATTGTGTATGAGAGAGCACCCCTCACATGGATATGTGTAACGTTGATGGTGACGATGATGATGATGGTTTTTTTGAATTTGGTTCCGTATGCGTTGTGTATATGTCGACCGTTTTTTTTTTCGATCTCTCTTTCTGTTCGGCAAATTAAAGCTAGTACTACCAAATATAAAAATTGCATATAAAAACGCATACACACATCCCAGCCAGACTTGAAAACACCGTCGAAAGGCGGAAAGTGAGACGAATGAATGAATAAATGACAGAGAGCAAAATAAAATAAAACAACGTACAAGATATTGTCATGGAATCGGACCAAATAGGATAAAAGTGTGAATAAAACGCAAACGAGAAAAGAATATAAAAAAACCGTACATTACAACGAAGGGATTAATGTATACCAATATACGAATATAGTGCAGAGAAGTGCGAGAGATAAGTACTCTAGACGCGTCTCTCATTCGGTGTGGCGCGCGCTCAAAAGACGACTCACAAAACGCACATATAGCGCTCTATATAAATTATATATACAGATCCGTACATTGTGAATGAGAGAGAGAAAAACCCAGCGCACAATTTTATACTGAACACCTGTTTTCATTCAAACAATTCCCACAATAAAAGTGCCAACGTAACAGTAATAAATTAAATGAGCACCGAAATTTTTCCGAGTATGGCACACTCACAATTCGTTTTGTGGTGCAAATGGATTTTTGGATATTCGTGCACATAATCGTTATGCATGTTTTTATTGCCATTTTTGCGCTATTTTCAGCATATTATTTGTGCATAAAATGATGGCAATGGCAGTGGTGGTCGCTACTAAGATATTTACGATTCAATCGGCGCAAAACATTTTTGGACGTTATCACTAGTAGCCATGGAAACCTTATATGAAACTTTCGGAGACTCGGTATAGACTATCAAATAAAAAACCTCTATCAAGGTGAAGAACGAGTGACGAAACCAACATTTGAAACACAAAATTTCTGATATCAACTTTGTGACGAAAATAGTTGGTAGATATATTTTCTGTGTACTGTGAATATAAACTTAATATACATTTGTATATTCGAAAAGTTGCAGAAATTCTCTTCTTTTTACTTTGAGTTCATACTGATGCAATGAAGTAACGTTCCGAATTTACAAATGTATATTAAGTTTATATTCACAGTACACAGAAAATATATCTAGGGGGTAGACACATGGAATATTACTTGAGATATTCACCGAAATTGAAGGTAGTTTTGGTATTCTCAGTTTTAGACGAAATGTCAATGCATTCAGCAACGTCTCACAATGTGCATATATGAATATTATCTTCCAAATATTAAAAAAAACTTTTTCAACGCAATTAAATGTATTATTTCAACTGGTTTAATAAATGAAAAAACAATGTTGATAAAAATAACAGAAAGAAAACAGAAAAAATTAAAATAAATTTCGAAATGGTGAATGTTAAAACGAAATGGAAAAAACTTGAAATCTTTATTACCGATATCAATTCGACATTTGGTAATCACGGTATTCACATTTTTAGTACAAGTAATCTTTAAATAAGTAAGTAATTGTCGTATTTGAAAATAGATAGGTATTATGACAATTCATTGGCATTCATTCATTCTCTATAGAGTGAATATATTGTGTCTATCCCCTAGAAATATATCTACCAACTATTTTCGTCATAAAATTGATATCAGAAATTTTGTGTTTTAAATTTTGGTTTCGTCACTCGTTCTTCACCTTGATAGAGGTTTTTTATTTGATATCAATAGTTTTGTAAGCGCTATTTTCCAAGTTAAAGATTCAAGACACATGAATTTGAATATTTTTCAAATACAATGAAAAAAAGGATTTTTAGGTTATTTTTTGACCAAATTTATACAAATTATGGTTCATGATGAGGAACAGAGGTATTTTTCAGTGATCTGTGGTATGCATATTGTTTTATCTTTGACTTGAGGCTTAAATTGATGAAATTTTCAAGAGAACATATGCAGTATTTTTCGAAAAAATGCCCGTTATGTGTGCGGTCAACGGTCAATTTTTGGTTTTTTGCCAATTTGGCAGAACCAATTAAGACCTTTCGAACGAATATGCATTTGTCCTGTGTTGGGATTCTAGCAAATAATTCCGATCGGAACTATTTTTGGTCGGAATTATTGTTTATATAAACAAATTCATTAAGAAAAGAAGTGAACAATCGAACACGTTGTTCCACATGCAAGTACAGTATATATACAACGTCGAGTATCGTTTGCAAATTTTATTTAAACAAAAACAACAACAAAAAATCTAGAAAAGTGAGGTTATGTTGTTCATATTATTTTTTTTAGATTTTTTTTTTTGTTTTATTAATAAAATAATATTTTCGAATATTTTAAATTCTAATTTTTCTTTTGCAAAGAAAATGAATTTTTGTTCAAAAAATAAATAAATATTTATTTTTTTTACTTTTCTGTAGTATTTTTTGAGCGGTATACAGGGTATACATTCTCCGTAATCTACTGTCACTCTAGCTTCCACTGCTCGTGGCGCTGCAGCGTACATGTATTCAAATTATTCACGCTAAATTAGCTTCTAATTAGACGAATTTATATTTCTTGGTATTTTTTCACCGAAAACTGTCTCGACTTATTTATACAAATCGAAGCCTGATCATGCCCGTAGCTAACAACACCTCTAATGCGTATTCCGAGTACTAATTGACGTTTGTGACAATATGGCCGTCACGGTTTGGCAAAATCATAATGAATCGATTAAACTGCGTTAAACTGTTAAAATAAAACAGTAGAAATAAATAGATTTTAATTTTTTACATTTTTGAAAATAAAAAATCTTTTGTTTTTTTTTTAATTTTGTGAGGTTTTCTGTCCACAATATTCAAAAATATTAAATCAATAAAAATGAATCGGTTGACATAACCTCACTTTTGTGTCACAATCGTAATAAACCGATTAAATAATTATTAAAACAGTAGAAATAAAAATATTTTCATTTTTTACATTTAAAAAAATAAAAATTGTTTGTTTTGTTTTGTAGTTTCCGGTAGTTTCGTGAGATTAACTGCACAATATTCAAAAATATTAAATTAATAAAAAATGAATTGTTTGACATAACCTCACTTTCGTGGCTCCGATACAAATTATTTTCTATCTGATTCGACATGACTAACATTTATTACCATTTCCAACATTCTGCGTTTTTCAATTGACGTTGAAAAACTTACTAGTAATCTATAGGAACTTACGTAAAACTTAGACGAACTTATGAACTTACAACGAGTCATTTTCCCCTAGTCATCACCTCATCGATGTGAAGCGAAACAATTCAAAAAATTATCTTTTTTTTTCATTTCAAAAGCGAACGAAACGTTTATCCACATCACACGCTTGTGAAATATATAATAAAGATGTTCAAAATAAACATTTATTCAACACCATAAAATTGATTACCACAAGTACACACAGACAGGCACACGTTTAAAGTGTATGTTTCTGTATTTCGTTGACTCTCTGGCAGCTGTGATGAGAATCTTAATTTTTGTGTTTTTCGAGTATCTCACATTTCTCCAAACAATCGAGATAAAAAATGAGCGAGCAAATGAGACAAAGAGTGAGAGTGAAAAAGTGCGTCCGTATTTGTATACAAGTACAATGTATAAATGCAAATCAAAGATTCGGTGTTCGGTTTCTCTCTTCAGTTTGACAATGTTTCGAGCTGTTTGCACATACATAGACGTTACAATACTGCACACTGATAAAATGTATAGATCGAATGCCAATGTAAATGCTATTTTTCACTTTTGTATTTCTCACTGATTATTTTGCTTTGTGGTCTATTAAATTTATTATGCGAATCGGTCTACATACCGAGCTACTTGTGAAAAAAAAAAGATTTCAAAGTACTGTAATGCAAATATGGTTGTCTAGCTAGTCGGTTGTGCGCAATTTGACTACACTTTGATTTTGGGTGTTCTGTTTTGTAAATCGTTTTTAAATAATTACTTTTAATTGATTGAACAATAAGTGTTGTAAATTACTGATTTTTTTGTTCAGTGTGCTAATATTTGTTTTAAGTAAATTTTATTAAATCTTAATGACAACTGGCAACCTGATCAAGTAAAGGTAATTACTTTTCATTATCACATGATTTGAGTAACATGTATCTGACAAAATAAAATGAAAAGGAGAACCGTTTAGTTCGTTCAGTGATGGTTGAATATGCCATGATCCCAATTAATGATTACAATTTTCAACCAGAACGAATGGAATTCTCCCAAAGGTACCCAAGTACCGGTATCAGATCCGTAGACAGAGCGGCAACTTGTCGTTTTGATTGAGATACCGTTAACCATCATACAGAAAACATCGATTTAACATTGATGATTATTCAAAACGCAAATAATTTTTGTCTATTTCAGATCAAAATGCTGAAATCGATATGGTGGTTTTTGCTATTCTTGACCATGTTTATGGTCACAAGTACAATTGCACAAAGTGATGATGACAGGATGTCGACTATATTTTTCGATTCAACCGATGAAACTCCGTTAAACGATGCACCCGGTGCAGAAGTGGGCGATGCGCCACAGAATATTACCGAAACAGAACTTGAACAGTTATTAAAACATTACGATGCCATGTCAATGAATGTATGTAATCGTGCTGTTATCGCTTCTTGGAATGTTGCGACTGATGTGGGAAACAAAACCAAGGAAGAAATAAAGGTAAGATCTACTTTAATAATCCATCGTTTCGATAGTCATTTCAAATGTCAATAAATTAAAAGTAGCTAGGTTCGTTGATTGAAAATTCTGATAAATTTATGATAGACACTGTGCGTTGTTGTTGTCAAAGGGCATATGTTTCGTGTACATTGTAATGCGATACTTTCTGTATGCGAAGAAATGTATCAACTGGAACCAAATAAATAACGGACGTGATACTTTGTGACTATGCAGTATGGCATTGTAACGGTTTTTTGAAGCAGTGACATTGAAACCGACTTTTCGCACAGAAAAGTGTGCTCCCTTTGGTGTTACGTTGTTTTTGTTCATACATTGAAAAATATTGAAACTTAAATTCGCAAAAATCAACGATGTACAAGAAAGATTGTGGTTTTATTTTTATTTTATGTAACTAATTTCCATATTTTTAACAAGCCAACTTTCTTATCTGAACAAAAATAAAGTCTATGTCGGAATTATGGGCATGTAGCGTACGCTTTGGCACACTCAATTAGTCGTAGAGACCAGAAATATTTTTTTGCAGGCTACATCAAGTGTTATTCAAAATGGGAAGTGCACATTTGACATAGGAGTTTTGGTTATGTTGCATACAATTCCAAGTATAAAAACGAATTATGCAACCAACCAGCCAACCAGTGTACCTGTGTACATGTATGGGATGATTCGTCGATAAATTGATTATTGCGTATTTGTATCACGCATTTTGTTTTGCATCACTGTTTTACACGCCAATTAAAAATAAGCTGTGTGCACGCAAATTTGCGCAAAAAAGAAACGAAAAGTGAAGAAGATTTAATTGCGCACAACATTTTTATTTTTGCATCGATGGTATCATTCAAAGTACGGTATATGCGTTTGGTTTTCAACAAAAAAAATTAAAGAAGATTTTCTTATAGTGCCAAAATGGATGTGCGCGGTACTGAACTCGTTTAGTTGATCTTTTTTTCTACAAAAACAATTAATTCAACATAGATAACCGTTGCTAGAAATTTACCGAGAACTATCTATAACAGGAAGAGCCCATTTCGAATAGATTACTATAATACATTGGTTGTTTTGACATGATGATGTGTTACTATATAAAAAAAACATTTTTATATTATTTACAGATAAAAGCTGTGGCAGAACGTGCAAAATTTGTTAAGGATTGGTACAATTCCCACTGGAAATATGCCAATGAAGCTGATTATAAAGATGAATCGATACGAAGACAATTGCGCTTTCATAAAAATTTGGGAGAAGCAATCTTAAACGAAACTGACTTAAATATGGTATGCATTGTTAAAATGTTTAAATATCAATTGTTAATTATTATTTTTTGAGAAAAAAACGAGATTGAGAACTTTTTTTCTGTTTCTGATGTAGCTGACAAACATAATCACTCAAATGTCAAATGTATACAATTCAGCCACCGTTTGTCCGTACAATAAACAAAACTGTGACACTACAGAGCGTCTAACTCTCGATCCAGATATTCAAACGCGCCTGGGAAAATCGAGAGATGTTGATGAATTGAAGTATTTATGGGTACAATGGCGCGATGCAACAGGGCGAAAAATCAGAGATAAATACGAGGATTATGTCGAATTAATGAACAAAGTTGGTACTGGAAACGGATTTAAGGTAAAGATAAAAAAATTCTAATGCAATTTAACATTTGCATTTACCATTTGTGCGTCATATTTATTACTTACGTCATATACAATTACTTGCGTATCGGTCTTAAGGACGCCGCCGAATATTGGAAAAACGAATTTGAAGATCCGCAATTTGAAGAACATTTGGATGATTTATGGAAACAAGTGGAACCGCTCTATCTCGAATTACACACGTATATGCGATATAAATTGTGGACAATTTATGGTAAGGTTTTCATACAGATTAAGAGATGTACATCTAAATGAGGAACAATATCATAGTTTTTATTAATTATTTTGGTGATTACAACAGGTGATAAATTTGATTGCACTAGCGAAAACATACCAGCTCATTTGTTGGGCAATATGTGGGCACAGGTATTATTATCTGAACATTATTTTGTTGTTGTTGATTTTTTAAATATGTGACAGAATTTGAAAGACTTTAATAAATTTGAAATAAAACCAGATTTGTTTTAAGTGTCATCCTCAGGGAGTGCATTCAAACTAAGCAAAATCATAAAGTGTCTTTACGTTAGTAGTATGAGAAAAGCGACAAAATTACAATAAATACAACAATGTTTTTGTCACTTTTCTCACTGTACTCTCTACGTCAACCTTTGTTTCAATTATTACTATTTATTTGAATAGAATTTTTGAAATTAAATGGGCTAAGTCAATAATAATAATGCAATACACTTAAAACAGTTGAAGAAGTTTTTATCGTTTTTCACATGTCAAATTTAAAAGTTAATGGGATTTAGTAACATTAAAAACATATTCTGTATTCGTTGTAGAGCTGGGAATATTTGTTTGAAGAAACAAAACCGTTCGCAAACGGATCATCGAATGACGTAACGGCAAAATTACAAGCACTCAAATACAATGCACGCAAAATGTTTGAAATATCCAATGAGTTTTATATGAGCCTTGGCCTGCCAACGAACGAAATGTCATACACCGGTGAATCGATTATTGAAAAACCAACGAATCGTACAATTCAGTGTCATGGTATGTGTTATTAAGATTTTTAACGTTAAATATCATTTGTTAACTGAGAAAAATAAAATTGATACAAATAAATGTTTTTTTTCTTCTATTTTCTGATAGCTTCTGCCTGGGATTTTTGCGATGGCAAAGATTTTCGCATAAAAATGTGCACAAATATAAATCAAGAAGATCTAATCACGATTCATCATGAAATGGGTGAGTTGCGGAATGTTTGTTGACTGTTGATTTTGAATAACTATCCATAATTTTCAAACAGGTCATATTCAGTACTATATCCAGTATAAAGATCAACCGTCGGTGTTTCGTAAGGGGTAAAATTGGTTACTTTTTCGCTTTCTTATATTTAATGAAGGTAAAAATAATAATAATTGATATTTATAGTGCAAATCCCGGTTTTCATGAGGCTGTCGGTGACACCATGGCATTGTCGGTAGCAAATCCGAAGCATTTGGTTAAAATTGGTCTTCTAAACAATTACACAAAGTCAATTGAAAACAATATAAATGCTTTGTACATGGAAGCATTGCAACGCGTCGCCTTTTTGCCATTCGGTTTTCTAATTGATAAATGGCGTTGGGATGTATTTAGCAAAAAAGTTTCGTCCGATAGTTGGAATTCGCATTGGTGGACATTGCGAGAGAAATACCAAAAAATCTCATCGCCCGTTCCGCGAACCGAGGATGATTTCGATCCTGGTGCAAAATTTCATGTGCCAGCCAATTCAAAATATATTTCCTATTTCATTTCACATCTTCTGGAATTTTCATTTTATAAAGCGTTATGCAGTGCAGCCGGTGAATACAATTCAAACAATGTGAATGTGCCATTGCATCAGTGTGATTTCTACCAATCAAAAGAAGCTGGACGGAAAATTGCGTAAGCAGTCAATTTCAATTAGATGTTTAACGATTTGTAAACAAATAAAATATCGAATATTGATTACAGTGATGCTCTTAAACTCGGTGCGAGTAAACATTGGTCTGAAGCGTTGAAATTGATAACCGGCGAAACGACTCTGTCGGCAAATGCCATTCTTGAGTACTTTAAACCATTAAGAACGGTTTTAGTTAGTGAAATCAACCGAATGAAAGCATTGAACGTAACGTGTCAATATGAGGAAGACAACGTCGTCGCCAGTAAGTTAAAACTATTCATTTTTTGACGTCGATTGATGACTTCTTCATATTGTTTTTACTCTAATAATTTGTGTCTTTTTTTTAATTTCAGAAGGATTTACAATGGGTACTTAAAAATTGCCTTTCTATTATTTAATAATTTTTATTGATTCTTTTTCGATAATTTGTCGATTATTTTAAATTAATTATATTTTTTTCTTTTGTGATTCTCCCCTAGGTACTATCTTTACGGGACTAGTTATTTTTGTTTTGGTGGCCCTTATTTGTACTATTGTTTACGGTATTTATAAGTACAACGCCAGAGTCACTAACTATGTATAGATAAATTGAAAAATGTGTCACCTATATGCTGGCCGGAATAACAAAACGGTTTCAACAGAAGATCCGATACAGCATCGAAAACTTCTTACTAAAATTAAAATTAAAATTAAAATTAAAATCAAAATAAACATCAACTTCCAAAGAAAGAATTTTATTGCCTATTTTATTATTTTCATGAAGACAAATTGGATTCTATCGAGGTCATGACATTTGGACTTTATTGTTGTTTTTTTTTAAATAATCACAAAGCTTTTACGATTTATAAAATGGGCAAGTAAAAACAAAAAAAAAAACTTGATTGAAAATCATTTTCTGTTTTCTTTGTCAAAGGTTAATTAATCAACGTTGTTTTACAAAAATATGCGTGTTTTTATCTCGTTCTGCTTGGTTATAGCAGATGTCGCTTTTCGCAAGTATTTATTTTGTCGTATCGAGTACAATGCTTTGCTTAAACTCGTTACCGAGAAATTTCACTTTCTTTTGGGATGCTATTACAAAGACGAGCTCGTTCTTTCTCTCTCTATCTCTCCCACTTAACTTTTCTTAACATTTTTTTCTCTTTATTTATGTTGCGTCTTTATTTCATTCCATGGGTATTTTGAATGTGAAAATCTTTTACAAAATGTTAAATATACCCTTTCTGTCGAGGAGTGGAAAATTAACGTGATGATGATTACTTATTTATGGGCAGACAAGTCTATTGAAATCGTGAAAATAGATGTTCATGTAATTGTTTTCACTTGTTTATTAATGACTTCAATCGCTTGTATACGGCATTTCAGTTTAAGGATTGTTTTGGGAAACAACCAGACTTAAATTGTAAATCATTCGTAAAAATCGTTTTACTTTTTCGTAAAATATCCAGCAGAAACTTGTACATTATCAGAGCATTTGTGATAACAACGAATTTTGAACATCGGACTTGTTTTTCCCACGCTTTTAGAAAAAGTCGTAAAAAATCATTATAAATTACTGGTGCAATCAAACTGTTAATTACAATTATCGTATTCAACCATCTAAAAAATCTCGACTCATCACAACGAAAAATGAAGCGCAAATACTGAAACAAAATTATTATTTTTTTTTATTTCGTATTTAAATCATGGTGTTTACATGTTGTGTGTGTGTGTCATCCTTTTTATATACTCAAGAAGACAAACAACACATTAAGAATGCGTAGAATGAGAGAACGAACAAAAAATGATGAAGAAAGAAAAAAAAAATGAAGGGGTCTGCCGTTTTCTTATGATTTCTTTTTCTTATTTATCCAGTTTCTTAATTATTTATGCGTGTGTGGCGATGTACGATGTATGAAGACACGGATTTTCTTACACGAAACACAATGAATCGTATAAGAATTACTTTAGCGACACCAAACAAAACACGAAACAAAGAATACAAACACAAACAAAAATTGTTCTCATTTCACCTTGATGGTCATTTAAATGGAGTGCGTACTTTGGCTTACAAATTGATTGAAGGGACGCACATGTGTGTACTTGGACAACGACCGGAGAAATTTAAATTTTAAATGGACTTCTTGACGGAATTGAATTGTTTGAATCACATATAAAAATGGCCACATCGATACAGGTCAGTGGTTAACAAATTAAAGTTTCTGTGGGAACCGAATTTCTTCCGACGAAGAAATCTTGTAAGACAATTTTCGACGGCTTATTGCTTTATGAGAATTTCTTATTACCCCCCAAAAAAGCACCAAACATATGAAATAAAGATACATTCATGCCACAATGGTGGTATGATAGGTTAATTTCAATCACACCGAGCTAAAGACGATTGAATGATCTTTTTTCGTGGCTAATTCTGGTAAAATTAACGGTATGCAGTTTTGCCGAAAACCAAACAAAACTTTGTGAATGATAACAATAGCGAATGAAACTAGTATAGAAAAATGTACGCCCTATATCTTCTATTCATTCGATCTGTATCTATTCGCTATGTAGACGTTTATGAATATTCATGAATGATGTTGATTAACTTTGCAAGTAGCTTCTTGCATATATTTGTAATGTTATTGTTGTTTTCATGTGAATAAGCAATATTCAAACGACTCCAATTTCGAACATATCTATGAATCCGACAACATATTTTGATATTTTGCATGGTGACTGTGATACTCGGCGTGAAATGTAAAGGAATGAAACTGAATTGGCGTCAACAGAGTCTTTAATGTATCTATTATACAGTTGGTAGTTGCATGTATGCTGAAAAACCGATGCAATGTTTTGTATGTGCGAACTCAAATCGACGTATACGGCCCCGTCCGTCATCATGCATTTGTTCAGACAGTGACTCTTCGATGTGAGCAAAGCAAACACACAACAAAAATGAAACCAGATCAAAACCAACATCATCTATTTTCTAGCGAGCTGTGTATAACGCAATCGCATGGATATATATGTATTAATTCAGAACGCAGCAGCAGCAACAACAACAATAGCAGCAGTGTGATGGCAACAGCAGCAGACGTTTGAATATTTGACGAATGCATGTAGCATAGCAGAGATAGTACAAAGTTCGTTGGGAGCGAGGCGAAAAAAAAAACAGCAAAAGACAGCGGCGTGGGAGAATCGTGGGAATTTTGACAAATGTTGTGTTTTCACGTTGAAATGGGATCATTTTTTGTTGTTGATGTTGCCGTTGATATTGTGTGACTGCCGCTATACTTTTGCTTGTTCGTATCAACTTCAATACAATTTAATGTTCTCCGGGCTTATGCGAGAATCTACAATGGATTTTATGTGCGTATTCTCCGGCTCTTCTAAATGATTTTCCATATAGGAGCGAGAGCGATGGCAAAAAAAAATATACACATCAATTGACTCAAATCTTATGTAGTTATGTAGTCAATAATTTGATGCGTGTGGATTTGGCATTATAATATGAATGAAATAGATGAGAGTGAGAGAGAGAGAGATGGAAATCGAGAGAGAATAGAGAGCCCTCCCGTAATACCCATTTTATGTGAACATGTTTCCTTTCTAAATAATCGGATTTCCGTACAATATTCAGCGTCAATGTCGATGTTTTTTTGTCATTTAAAATTGTTGATTGTTTATTTTACGATGCATTATCAGCATTTGATTTTTTGCTTTTGTTTTGACGATATATACATTTTTTACAAGTGGATTTTCGATTGGTGAAGCGAATCGATGCTCGGCATTTTATTTGATTAACACGAATTTTCTTATTTAAACGAATTGGTTGTAGCCATTGATAAATGGAATGTAGAAAAACCGTTTTCTTCGCTCGAAATTTGTCGTTATCATGCAAAGAATCAACAAACGATTGATTACTACTGTTGTTGCTCTTCTTTTTTCGAGATTTCTTTTCCGCTGCCTTTTTTTCTTGTAATTTTGGGCTGAAAAATCTCCCACAATTAACATTAAAAAAAATTTGTGATTATGTGTGTGTGGGAACTTCGTGAAATAATTGTAACACAACAGAGCCACACAATAACCGTAGTGTAAGAAAAGAATAAAACTTGAGTGAACTAAATGAATGCGGCTTAATAAAATGCCAACTGTACGGTTGTAATAATAATAAATGTAGCTTCGATGATGAGAACTCGGATGTTGTTGTGTATTTTTTTCTACACTTGGCGATGCCTTTATTATTACTATGTGCTTTTGATTTCCATTTTATTTCATTTTATCATTTGTACGGTGTACTTTAAGTCTCAATTGTATTGCTATCATACCTTGATTTGTACGTCATGTACATTCACCATTTTTCTGGTGTGTTCTATTTTGCAATTTTTCTGCTTCATGCCATGCGGCTATAATTTTCACATATATATTTTTTTTTCTCTCTCTCAGCTGGAATTTTTTCTTCACTAAAAACACTCAAATAAAACGACAACAACAATTTCAATGCTGCGTGAGAAAAATCTAATTATTTCAATTTATTCGTTTTTGTCCTGCTTAATTTGGCTTTGTTTCTTCAATTTTTGCTCTCTATTATTTGAAACAATGATTTATCTATGCATGCTTGACATAAATGTAAAACAACAAAAATTCACTCCATGTGATTTGATCATGAAATCTTAGCTTACAATCTAAATAACATATTTCTTTTCTGATTAGACAATATACAACTTCCTTTGCAGATAACCGAATCGGTTTAATTAATTTGAATGCTTCGGTTACATTTCTCGAAACTTTTCGTTCGAAAAAAATAAAAATCACAATTCCTCTGGAACATGAATAAAAATGTAATTTTCAAAACAAATCAGGTAAATCGATGCAATAAAGGAAATTATTTCTACTGCCAACGAATAATCTTTGATTATGGATTGCCGGCGTTGAAAATACGTCGCCATCAAGTTTGCGTTTATAAAATAATCCACCAGTTTTACTGTTAATTACATGGAATATTCCATCGGACGAGAAAATGCAAATATACGAATTAAATTGTGTCTCAATAAATTGTGGCGTTGATCTAACAGATGCGGTAGTTCTATGTTTCCACTCTTCGGTGCATACGCCGTTTGAATCGATTTTAAAGCAGTACAAAAAATGATTTTGTGATCCAAATACAAAATTCATGCATGTTTTATCGATGGTATTTGTAAAATATTCAATGGATGAAAAAATGTTGCCATCAATTTTATGGCATAAAATTACCGTACCGTCATTACCGTTCAATATGTATATGGTGCCATTCACAGCCGCTAAAATAATTTGCGAATGTTGTGAATTTCGAAGAAATACCGACGGTGTCGAGAAAACCGGTGCTTCTGCATTGAAAGTCCACAGCATTTTTGTTGAAAAAATATTGACCAGAGCAACTGTTCCATCCAAACTGCAAACAAGACAATTTTCATCGTTCATCTTCACTGGATTTGCGTAGATACTTTTGGTTCCGATTCGGCACGACCAAACACTGGTTCCATTTTCAATATCCAAACACCATAGATTCTTTGAATCATTATAATTGCCGAAAATCACAAATGTATCGATCAAAAGGGCGCGACACTTAATCATGGCTCCAGAATCAAACTTCCATTTTATGGCACCGCTTTGAATATTAACACAATACAAATGTCCATCATAGCATCCAACAATGATGCAGTCATTAGATTGTACCCCTTGGCTCTCGATGCGATCAGGTAGCTCCAATTTGGATATGATTTTTCCATCATTTATTGAAACGTTAAACAACCATTTCGAATGACTCCCAACCGATACAATGGTCATATCATTCAAAAAGCATACGGTTGGTGTGGCATCGATGCATTTTATCATATCTATTTTCCAGCGTTCGTCAATTTTCGGAATAATTTCATTGTGAACTTTTCCAAGTTTTTCACTCGCCAAATTCGCATCGATCAAATGTGACAGAATTTCACGTATTGAAATACTGTCGTCCATAAGCATTGCTAAGACTTGTGGAATTGTGTGGGAAATTTCACGTTCAAATTCATGTACAATTTGAATTGCTTTCAAAGAAGTGCCACCCAACTGAATGAAAGATGAATCTATCTCGGTCTTGAGTTTCTTATGCGATTCCGTTGAATCAACGAAAACTTCTGAAAATGCAATTTTCGTACCAAGACATTCATTAATTATATTTTGTAATATAAAGTGAATGGGTTCAAATCTCAATTGTTTGCCATTTGTATGTACAACAGTATTCAACAGGCATTTTTTGCTAATTTTTCCGTGTGTTGTTAGTGGAAAATGTGAAACGCAGTAAATTTTGACATGTGCACCAATCGCTTGGAGTGTTTTTACTATTCGTTGTTTAATATCAATATCATCGGCTGTCTCTTCAATTTTGACAAAAAGTTCGATTGAATTTCGTTCCTCGTTGTGTATGCATACAGCTTCTTCAACTCCAAATACAGTTTTTGTGCGTATTTCGATGTCGCATAAATTGATTTTATTGCCATATAATTTGATTACGGAATTTAAACGAGATGTAAAATACAAACGTGATGCATCATAATCATCCGCCTCAACCAAATCCCCCGTGCGTAATGTGAATTCAAAGCTATCGTCAATTACTTGAGCATCACTTATTTGTGGCTGAAAACATTTGCGAACTGAAGATTTTAATAATAGTTCGCCGTCGGCATTAATGTCAATGGTTGTGTTCGCATCGATTGAGTTACCAATTGGAATTCTTCGATTTGATCGAATATCCTCTTTTGTAATTTCATAGACACACGCCCAACATGACATCTCAGTCAAACCATACAAATTAAAAATTCGAAGCACATTATTATTTTCCCAATCGATCCAATTCTTCATTTGATTGGTTTCCGGTATCCGTTCACCGCCAAAGGCGAGAATTCGTAATTGAGAATTCGACGAAAATATTCGGTCGGCTATTTCACTAGATGACCAACGCATGAAGAGTGACGGTGTCGTTTGCATTATTGTTACTTCTGAATTTTTCTCAATTGGAAACAGTACGTCCAACAATTGTCCAACGTCACATCTCAAACTATTTGTTGCCATAATTAACGAGGCACCATAATGCAATGCCAAACAAATGTCAACCATGAACGGATCAAAAGTTGGCGGCGATGTAACAAATATTACGTCGTCTCCAGTTACACGATAAATTTTCCTGACAAATCAATAGAAAAATATCAATTTCCGTGAGAAATTGTCATTGTTTCAATCTTACTTACCCGAGACTTGTGATATTTGGCATAAAACATTTATAAGTCACGCCAATCGATTTAACTTGTCCACATGAGCCAGAGGTGGTGGCATAAAATAGGATTTGCGATGACATCGTCTTATCATAGTGACGGTTTGACAATGTCTTTGGAATGCATTGTAAATCTTTGAAATGAATCAGTCCACAATTTGTATTGAATATCGTTAGTCTCGAGATGATTTGTTCTTCTTCAATGTTCAATTTATTCAAGTATTGCAAATCGCAGAGGATTATGTTCGTCTCAAGGTCAATCAGTCTCTTTTTAAGGTTTGTCCAATTTTCGGTGGAATCAAGGAAACAACTTGCACATCCAGCATTTTCAATTCTAAAAAATAGTTGCAAAGGATCAGAGCTATTACATTTTTGTTCGTTCATTCGTATGCGTTCGTTATTCGCAGAAAAATTGTAAAATGATATTGAATAAAAATTTCGTTTATTTTTTGGGAAATGTAAAGTAGATGATATGTTTATGAATTTTAGTTTTCGATAAATGGATAAGAAATGGAAAAAGTTGGATTTTTTTAGCAATTTGAGGTATTGTATGTTAGGTGCAAGATTAAGTGGCATATAACAAATCTATATAATATCATCCATTCGAATATTTCTTCCAAGCAATCGCCGTTTTTTCATTTATTTTGGTTGGTACAATCATCAAACTAATATCGTTTTGTTCATTGATATCGTTCAATTTGCATCGTTTTCGTTTGATATTGAGTTTTGGTGGTGATAAACGTTAACCGGCTTTGATGCATTGCAGCTTTTCTGGCCGAACGTCATAACATTGTTGTTATTCTGATTATGATTAAGTTGGCCACTCATCCAATAATTCGCGAAGATGATCGGAATTGAATTCATGTATTTCAAAAATATATTTTGAAAATGTGTTTGTTTTGAATTCACCGGTTATTGGAAATGTTTGAATATCGAGTCAAATATCAACCTCACAATTACACAAGTAGACTAACCATCATTACTGGCACAATCAAAGATGAAATTCTTATCCCAATGGCAGGGATTGGTTCGCATATAAAAATCTTATAGAATAATATTTTTACAACTATAATATAGCACTATATCTATAGACTATAATTAAACGTGAATAATATTGAAAAAGTATTTATTTTTCTTCTTCAATTAATATAAATAAAATGAAGTCACTACCCAACGATAATTGGCAGAATAGCCGGCGAATGAACTGGCAGCAGAATTCCAACGTTGAAATGTTGTTCATTTAATTTTGTTTGATTGGCCGTGTTTCCTACATATTCTTCAAGAATTTTCAATACTTTGATTGAATCTCGGTGTAGATCAGCATATGAATAGACGTGCAGTGAATCGGCCGTTTCAAAGAACTTCAAAACATTGTTATCGCCTCTCTTTTGAATATTGGATAAATCAAACATGATTCCATTTAAAATGTTATTTTATTTAATTCATTTATTTTCATTCTCTTTCCCTAGATTCACACATAAAAACTATTACACTAAATTTAAAAGTAACACTAACGTTCAGTTTTCTCTCATTTTTTTTTTTTAATTCATCCAAATCAAAATAAAGATAAAAACGTACAGATGAAAAATATTAGAGTTGTCATTAGCAAGCGAATTCATAAATGTCATGACGAAATTGGAAATGCTTGCAGCGAATATAGCGGCGAATTTGCTAACCGTCGTTTTGTTGACAATCCACTTTTGATGCATATACACTAATTACAAACTAAATGAATGCATTATGGCAATTCATACACGTAATTCATTAAGATATAACATTTAATGATGATGAATATCAATTACATTTAAGCAAACAATATGGCCCAAATTAACATTTCAAACAGAATTAAGTTTGTTATTTTGTTTTCTATATTAGATCATTTCGCCAAGCAGGTTTTATTGCCACAAACAAGATCACAACAAGACAATTGCATGATGGGCGAATATTAAAAAAAGAACCATTATCAACTGGATTTAAAAAAAAAATGAACCATTATCTTATGCATATCTGTGTTTTTTGTTTACAAATCAATTGTAATGGCATTACCTTAAAACAGTTTGCTTCACTTTATATTTTAATATCAAAACTGTTTATTTGTTAAAATTGGCATTTTATTCATTCGTAGCCATTGTTTGAAATCGAATAAAACACGTATCTTTATAATTATTCCGAAGTCCGTATTTCACTCCTGCAAATAGAAAAATAAACAGTTGAATCAGAAATGTTGCATAGGATTTTCGACGGTATTTCATGCTCAGTCTTACCTTTTGGTATCGAGATGACCGTTCCCGCTTTGTACGGCGTACTATCCTTTCCAGTAATTAGATCGATTTTGCCCAATAGAACTGTTAATTTCTGCAATACGAAAATAGGAGAAAATTTATAATGATAGCTGATCCAAAATTTAGTTCATTTTTATTCTGAACTCAAAGGTGTATCATACCATTGACGAAGTCGGTACTTTGGGTAATTTCTCGCAATCCCTTACGACTTTCACATATCCAGAACATTTTCCATTGTTCCATGGATATGTCACGTACTGTATTCCATCTTCTATTCGCAATGACAACGAACTTGGGTAACGCACCTCTGTCAACAAAAAAAAAAAACGGAAATATGAGTGATTATGATTCAAAGCAAAATGAATGAGATTGAATATCTTACCAACGCCCATTTGTGATTGCTGTCTTTTCCACTTTGATGTCACGTCCATTTGTAGCAGTCCTTTCAACCAATCAATGTCTTTTAACTTTGTCTAAAACATAAACAAATCGATTGTTAATCATTTTATCCAATTTATTTGTTATTTCAACCAACTGGATTTTAGCACAAGTGGAATCATCATAGTATACTTTTTTTTCAAGAAACCTAAAAAACAACTTATTTTTACTTACCGGACGCCATTTCGAATTTGTTGCTTTGGATTTTTGGCTTATTTTCGAAATCGTTGACGATGACGACGAGGCTCTCTTATTTGTTTTTCGTGTTGGTTTTTCTGAACTACTAATGTCTGAATCAATATCATTGTTGTGGCTATTGACAGCTCTCGTTTGCAATGGAATTTTTTTCGATGCTTTCGATTTGCTTGTTTGCTCTGTTGTTGATGCATCATCCCCCGTCGCCGTTTTATTCGCTGCACGACCTGAATTGTTAGATAATAATTATTTATTGAAATTATTCACATTTGAAGCTAATTTATGCCGAAAATATGCATTTTTTTCACTGTACAAGAACACATTGTTATATACCTCTCTTTTTCGGCGATGAAGTCTTTACTTTTGCCATTGTTTTTTTTTCACCAATTTTTCGTACTTTATGTTCTTTTTCGAACTATCAATTATATAAAAAAATGTTTTTTGGAACAGAACTTTGATTTCAGAATTTGTTCAGAAAATTATGTGTCTTTTTTCGAATTTGTTTGTTTATTTACGAACATCTAAAACACAATGATTGGCTTGCTTAACTGACACCATATGACATTTCACTCAATTCGCCGGACAGCGTTCACTGTGTGAGAGAGTGTGAGAGTGTGTACGGGAACTGTCATTATCTAATTACTGTTCGCGCTAAACAACAAACGATTCGTCAAATGAGCATGGTATAATTAGTTTTTTTCGATTTTTCGATTTATTACCTGAATTATGGGGGTCACTGGGTTATGGAAACTGATTGACCAAAGTGGAAAACCGGTACCTGTTGACACATTGGAAAATAAAGTGTTAGCCGTCGGTTAGTGTCATAAATGTATTGTTGAAATTAGGTAAACATTTCACAATGATACGAAATTTATTGTCGCATTTTCTTTGCAGATATATCGATATGGTTGCATCAGGTAGTCAAAGGGTTTCAAGATTCAAATGGAGCAACCCTACCAAATGCCCATCTACTTGGTTTATTCCATCGTCTTTGTAAATTGTTGTATTATCGAATTAGGCCAGTGTTTGTGTTTGATGGTGGTGTGCCACCATTGAAACGGGAAACAATTGTAAGTGGCAACAATTTATTCTATTATTTTAAAAAATAAATAAAAAACACTTGTTTTCAGGCTAAACGTGCGCGTAACAAGAATAAATATCAAAATGAAGCGGATAAACTGCAACAATTGCTATTGGAAGCATTGGCAAAGGAAAAAGTTGTGCAACAAGCATTGGGACCATCGACATCGGCTTTGGTTTCACCACGAAAATCGGTACAAAAAGTCAATGAAAATGATGATAATGACATGTTCAAATTGCCACCGATTCAAGAAGACCTTGTCAAAGACGATTCCATCACAGATATCAGTGAAAGCGATAGTTCATTCGATGATAAACAACGCGTATATTACAGTAGCAATCTACAAGCAATTGATGTAAAAAGTTCACACTTTCAAAGTCTACCGGCCGATATTCGCCATGAGATTTTATCCGATATTAAAGAAATGCGTAAACAATCTTCATGGGGGCGATTGCATGAGTTGCCAGCTGAAAGTCAATCATTTAGTAGTTTTCAAATGAAACGATTGCTAAAAAGACGACAAGTACAGGTCGAATTGGAAGAAGCGGAAAAAGAAATGGGCGGCAAAGGTTTGTCGATGGCTGAACTTGAGAATTTATTATCAGAAGAAGGTGTCGTTGATCCAGACATTGCAACCGAACGAGTGGCTTCAAATGAACACATTCGATTTTTGCATGTTCGTGATATTACTAAGGCAATGAAAAAAGAAGCCGATGAAAAGGTCAAACAAGAACAATTGAATGTAATTGAAGAAGAGCCAGACGAAAATGAAGTGACACCAATGGTCAAGAGTGAAGATATGACCGACGAAGATTTTGATTTGCAAAGAGCAATTCAAATGTCCTTGGGCGGCGAGGATCCACTTGGCGATGCCAACACAACGAGTGAATGTGATACAGTTCGATTGACAGTTGAACAACGAAAAGCACTTGGATCGGCCGCCAACTCATTGGCAAGACACTATATGGTCGAATATGGTGGCATGAACGATGAAGAAGTTTCCGATTTGGTGAAAATTGACGAAAGTTTGAATGCTACACAAGAGTTCAAGTAATTATATTTTTTTTTCCTTTTTCAAATGATGGCCAAAGATAATCTTAATATGATTTCGAATTTCAGATTCAACGATGACAGCATTCTCATTGGTAAAATAGATAGAAATGCTCCATCAACATCAACCTTTCAAGCAAAAGAAATATCGCAAATGCTAAGCGTTGAGAAAGAGAAAGTGATTGACATATCGGAGAGTTCAGATGATGAAGCCAATGTGTCAAGTGGTGCCGATTCCGATTTTATCGATGTTCCCGAAATAGATTTTGAAGTTGATCAAGCATTTTTGGCAAGAGCTAAGCGTCCGTTACCACCACCGTTTCTCATGAATGAAATTCCATTTGATTCTAAGTCGGTCGAGGAGACGACTGGTTCAAAAATTGAGGTCACCATAAATCCTGCCGATATTTGTGAAATTGAAGACGATGATATATTTGCTGACATTTTCACAGAAACAGAGACAAAATCAGATGTAAAATCAAAGGAGGAGAAGTGTAAAATTGTGATGGAAACTGTCATAAAAATTGACGACAGTCCACAAAAAGCTGTTCAAAATGATGAAAGATCAAAAGAGCCAAAAGAAAAATCGTTTGAATCGGCCGAGACAAAAATGGTATCGAATTCGGATAAAAACTCATCCGATTCAAAAATGCAGAGTATTTTGAATGAATTGAATGTTAAAAAATCAACCGTCACACAGCTAAGTTTGGATGATTTGCTCGGAACAAAATCCAATCGATCTGAAACAGCGGGGACCAGCAAAGAAACTTCATTTTTGGACAAATTAAAACAGGATAAAATAGAAGACGCATCCAATGAGATGACAACACCAACGAAGATACCTCAACCATTTTTCGTAAAAAAGACACCGCCCAGTTCAAAGAAGAAATCGCCAGCTAGTGCAAAAAACGATGACATCTCCTCTGCTAGTCCATCAAAAGCGGTAAAATCTCTTGCGGATGCCTTTGAATGTCTACCATCACCATCATCACAATCTGTCGCTGAAAAAGATTCAGTGGAAATGGCAGCTGGTGTTTTGCGTGAAAAAAAATCAAAAGAAGAGCTTGAAGATATTGCGGAGCAATTGAATCAAGAGCGCCGTGATTTGGTGGCAGAACGAAATAAAAAAGACCGTTTAGGTGTATCGATTACCGAACAAATGAGCATGGAATGTATGGATCTGTTGAGATTATTCGGTGTACCGTATATCGTTGCACCCATGGAGGCAGAAGCGCAGTGCGCATATTTGAACGAAATCGAACTAACTGAAGGAACCATTACCGATGATAGTGATATCTGGTTATTTGGTGGAAAAACTGTGTACAAGAACTTTTTCGATCAAAATAAGCATGTACTCGAGTACAAATCAGAGAATATCCATCGATTATTCCATTTGGACAGGCACAAGTTGATTCAGCTCTCCTTTTTAGTTGGCAGCGATTATACACAAGGCATTCATGGCGTAGGTGCAGTTACTGCTTTGGAGGTTCTTTCTTTTTTTCCTGCCACACCCGAAAAGGAAGGTGAAACAACGAACGTCGTTTCAATCATATCCAGTCTACGCAAATTTCGAGATTGGTGGCAAAACAAGGCACATGGCTATAAAGCGAATGCACTACGGAAAAAATTAAAGAATATTAAATTGACCGAAGATTTTCCAAATATTCGGGTGAGTACTTGTTGTTCATCATTATTCATTTTCCACATGAATATTCAAATTTATAATTTCAAATAGGTTGTGGAGGCATATTTATATCCAACTGTGGACGAAAATCGGGAGAAATTTACTTGGGGCCATCCTGAATTGGAGAGTCTTCGCGAATATGCGAAAAAAACTTTTGGCTGGACGAAATCTCGAACAGATGACATTATATTACCGGTGATGAAACGTCTGAGCGAGAAGCGATCACAACAATCAATTCAAAACTACTTCAAAATCACCGGCATTACATCACGAACGGATCTAAAAGTAAGCAAACGGGTTCGAACAGCATTGAACCAAATGGATCCAGAAGCACCTATAGTAATTGATGATGATAATGATGATGGTGTTGGTGTTGTGCCAGAGAAGAAACCGAAAAAGAAACCAACAAAGAAAACGGCTGCAAAAAATGACAAAGACACAACTAATAAATCAAAAGGCAAGCCTGGACGTAAGCGAAAAATGGCGACCGACACGATTGCAGAGCAGCAACACATCAACAGCGATGCGAAACCAAGTACTTCAGCCGTCAATGGTACAAAGAAAATCATACTTCCAGACAACAATGAACCAATACCACAACGCGAAAAAGACAAAGAGATTATGGAGAGTAACCGACTAAAGGCCATCGAAGTACTGAAGAAAATGAAAACCAAAATTAAAAAGAAATAAGATCGATGTTCCATCCAACACGATTTTTTTTTATCGTAATTTTATTTCCATGTCTGTGTTGCAAAAAATCCAGTTTCACAAAATTGAATGGATGTATTCAATTTTAACAAGCAGAGCTATAGCACATTACATTATAGATATTTGTTCTGTTTGTTTTCTTAAATAATAATATTATAAATGGTATAATAGTCAGTTGTTTTTGTAATTTGAACTCTTGAAAAAGGTCTGCATGTGTTGTGTAAATTATATGGTTATTTTGGTTAGATTATTTTCAGTTCTGTTCATTCTTCGTTGGTTTAACATAATAATTTGCACAACATTCAATTTGGATGATTTGACTCTTAAAAAAAACATATATATATATTCATGTGTGATGATCATCAGTAAAAATGTTAAGCCATGTCATTAAAATGCACATTTTCTATCGAAATTTCGTATTAAAATTCTAATATACTTTGATTGTAAACCACTTGGTAAAGAGGAGTTGGATATAAGAGATAATAGTGCAGCATATTGAGGATTATACGAGTATGTATGTCAATCAAATTAGAATGATACTTAAGTCAAATAGTGTGGTATAATAAGAAAAAAAAAAAGGGTTGAATAAAACAAAAACCAATTGGAGGTAATGTCTGCATATTTATTGTGTTCTTTTTTTATTTCCATTAAAAGAAAATATTGCCAATTTAAGCGCAAACTTTTCTCGTTTACTGATATTATTAAAGTAAGATTTTATCCCAAACAAAAAACTCATAGCACTTGCTTGATAAAAAGGAAAAAAAACAAAGACAGACGCAATACTCTAAGTTTGCAAAAAAGTGCGAAAGCAAAAGAAGAGTATTGTGTCCGGTGTCGATGTTCAGAATTTCTTTGTATGGTTTCATTTTTTTTAAATAGTAATCATTTTGATATAAATTATTATTGTTTGCGGTGCACAAAGAAAAATGAAATGAATTTGTTAAATTTGAGCCATATTAAATATTCACTCTTAGTAAGGAATTTTTTTTCGTTAATACTAAATTCTTAGGAATTTCGATCACAAAACATATATAACTTGTTGGAAACTTTTTTATTAAAGTGAGGAATCTTTATATAAGGGAAACAAAGTTCGATGGAGAATAGAAATTTCCAAAAAGATTACATAAAACAAAAATAGAATATTGAAACCGAGAAAAGGAACAAAAAATACAATGAAAACCAAGCCCATTAGAACTACATTTTTTTGAATTATGCTTTTTTCTATATTCATTTTATCGATGATGTTCTTAATTATTATTTAATTCCTTATAGAAACTATATATTCCACTGGTTTTTTACTCTTTTAAAAAGATTGTTTTCTTTAGGAAACATGTGTGTAAATTTTTAATATGTATATAATGTGTCTGAATTTGCCAAAAAAAAATTCTCATTTTTAATGTCGATCAATATGCGTGGTGTTGCAAGCAATACGCGTTTTAAATTTTAAGATATTGTTCAATCTAATTGGATGATCTTATTAGTTTTTTTTTTGTTTTAAGTTTAATTTGCTTTCATCGATTGGAGAAAAAAAAACATCTTCATTCTTTCTTTTTTTTTACTGGTAATGAAATATTGTATGTCTGGTGTACATGTGTGTGACACTTTATTGTTCTTCGTCACCCAATTCGTGCTTGATTTTGGAGAAATCGAATTCTTCGCCGGTACCACGTTTGAAAATGTCGACGACATCTAAGCAAGTGGTCTCAAAATGAGTAGTAGCATCATACGATTCACTAATGAAGACCTGCGATTCCAAACCTTTGTCGATTGGTTCGACATAGTCCGTGATTGATACGAACTTATGGGCAATTGGTGCCAATAATGCCAGCCCTGGTGCAATTTCAGCTTCTGGATTATCAGTTTCAACTGTTGTCGACACCATTCCGATGAACCATCCCTGAATTTAATGTACAATTTAGTATGAACAAATCGTTTACAGAGCATAGCGAGAAGAAAAAAAGATACCTTGGAGGCAACTTGATGCGTATAACTGGTCACCATGACATAAATGTCGGATTGACGTCCAACTTGCTTTTGCGGAATAATGATTTGTGTTGACAATGCATCCTTTGTATTGGTAACCGGATGATCCAACAGACAAATGCAACGAATCACTTGACCTGTTTTACGAACCTAATGAAATAGACACACATGACAATAATTTGTTGTGAAATGGATTTTAAACGCGTAATTTGCGATGATGAATTACTTACTTTCTCTGGAATGTAGCTTGGATCACAGTACACTTGTTTGCACTTAGCAATCTCTTCGCCGGAACGAACGCCAACTACCTTGCCATCATCGCCGAACACAATTTCATCGACCGGTTTGTCCAACATGTAGGTGCCACCGTAGATAGCCGACAAACGTGCAAAACCTTGTGGTAATTCGCCCAAACCGTACATCGGATACAAATATGGCGATTTTCCATATCGTGCCAATGAATCCGAATACAACTTGATGCGCTTAATTGTAATGAGCGCTTTATCATTCAAGTAGTTGTCATCACGGTATAAACCCAATGCGTGCCCAGTAAAGTCTTGAGTATTCTTATCCAAACCGAATTTGTCGTAGAGCGCTTGAGCGTTCGCAGTATTTGGATCAAAGTCTTTCCACGTTTTTGGATCATCCTCTTTAAAATCTTGAATGTAGATCAAGAAATTACGGAAGCGACGCTTCTCAAACATACCTATCGCAAGAGAAAAGAAGAAGAAAACGAAAAACGTTCGTCAACATTATTTAGTTTTGCTCATGCATAATTGACATTTTGCTTGAAAATCTAATTGACGTGCGTCATGTCAGTGTTAAACACGAAACATTAACGCTAACACATTAAATTCGATTGGCAACTTTAAAATTCAAGCGAAAAAAAATGGTCTGTCCAACTTTTTTTATTCGCCTCAATCAACATAAACACACACACATGCAGAGATGCGCACACATACAATGGATAGTGTTGAGAGTTTCAGCTATTGGTTGTGTCACGTACGCTATGTGTGCGAAACGCTTTCCATACAATCAAAAACCAATACATGCATCCAAAGTTATCAAGTTGGTTGACTCTTTCTATCTTATTGATTCGTTCGCTCATGTCATCCTCTTCTGTCAAATTGTTCGCAGCGATAAAGTTTTTTGCCACCGAAACAAGTGAATATAAATTGTAATTATTGATGTCAGTGTGTTTCACTCGAATTATTTTCATTTCTTTGATTCGTATATTAGGAGAGAAAAAAAATCTTTCTTTTTTCTTCGTTTTCCATTTTTCTTTGTTTCACAACGATCCGTTTACAATTTTATATTTCTTCTAAATCAACTTTCTCATTTCATTCTTTTTTTTTCGTCTTTCTTCCGATGACACACTATCCATATTTAAATGCTTTTTGTCTGTTCTATTTTGTTTGCTCGCACTGTGCGCAAAGCAAAGAATATGAGTGAAAAAAATGGCTTGAACTGTAAAATGAATTTAACTTACCCATCAAGTCGCTGGCCAAAGCCTCTCTTTGATCGACAGGAACTTTGGCGATTTTTCCACCTTTGTACACATAGCTCCCTTCGATCGATTTAAATTCTAAATAACGGGTCACGCCCGTATGTATTAGCAATTTCACTAATAAGCCATTTGCCATCAATAGCTTTGGAATTAAATCGACATTCCAATCACGGCCACGGCCAAATTTCTCGTTGAATTGTTCGGTTTGATTGAAACGCGCAAATAAATCTTCAAGCGGTGTAATCGATGCTGTCTCACCACCATAATACTTATTACGGTCGATGTGCAACACTTTTTTACCCGAAACTGACAACATACCACTCAGAATACATTCTTTCAAGCCTGTACCCAACACAATTGCATCGTATTCTTCATCCATGTTTTTTTTATTTCGCGTTCTAACGCTTTAAAAAATACAGAGAGAGAGATTAAAAAAAACTTGTATCTACACTTGGGTAAAATGCGGATTGAACGAGGTAAATTTGGAATTTATTCAACCACAATGAGCTGCGTGAAAAAAAATTCCAAACACTAATTGACGAAAAAAAGTAATCGATAAACACACGATAATTTTTTTTTATTTTTGCGCTAATTTATTCGACCAGATCGACGTTTATGCACAAAACTGAATAATCTAGGTGACGAAATGTGAAAGAAGAAAAAAAAATCGAGAGCGCTGTCTTCAAGATTGATTGGAAAAAAATTGACTTTCTCAGTGGAATAATCGCAATGGTTTGTTGGCTGCTTCGGATCGGCTGCTGTCGTATTATTCGCATTTGAGATGCGTATATTCAATGACATACACATTAAAAGCAGCTTTGGGACAGGGAGGCCATTTATATCAATTTTGATTTTATTTCTCCATCAATTCCTCAAAAAATGTTTAAATCAAAGAAAATATGTGGAAATTTCATTTCTACACAAAAACTCATCATTCTTTTGTCAAAAACATGACTTAAAATCTTATTTTAGTGTGTTAAAAGTGCGATTGCACACCTCCCTCGATGCTCGACGATGTTCGATGTGTGTGTGTTGGGACAATGGAAATGAGGCGAAAATCGTATATTTGACAGTTGATTTGTTACAATTTCGAATTCGCTGTCCTAAAACGAATAGGTACGTGTACACATAGCGACGGGTTTCCATGTTAATACAAATGTATGTGACATGTTTGGCAATTGAATTTTACTGTAAACCATTTAAATGTGTGCGTGCATGTGTGTAGCCGTTGCGAGCGGCTAAAATGGGATAGAATGAACAAATGGTATATTCAGACGAGAATCGAAAGAAGTGAGGATAGAGTAAAATATACCGAAAAAAAAATGTATTGCAATCAGTTGTATTTGTGAGCTTGAATCGTAAAGGTTGCATCGCTGAATGTTTCTTATGTTTCGCACGTTGCCATCTCTCCACTTCATCTAAATGTCTTTAAGATACAAAACATTTCAATCAACCTTGTTATTGCATTCAAAGTGTGTATCAGTGTTTTAGTTTCAATTTATAAATTATACATATTTGTTATTGTTTTTTTTTATTATTATTATTATTTTCTGTCGTTTTTGTCCGTTGAATTCCATCTTGAGTTTGTATATTGTATTCTCGTGCATCGAAACAAACGCAACTGCTTGAAAAGTAAATAAGAATCGCATTCAAAAGAATTTTGTGGTCAATGTAATGTGGAGGAAAAAGATGTACAATAATTTAATTAAATTCTATTTTGAATTAGTGCAACGATCGCGATAGTGAAAATCAAAAACAATTCTATATAATCCAAGAGCTAAGAAAGTGTTTAAAAGAAAGAGAGAGATCAACATTTTTGGATATTTATACATGTATTATATCAATTTCACGTGCTTTGACGAGAAAGATAGGAAATAAAATAAAATAAAATAAAATAAAATAAAAGAGTGCCCAGTGACAAGAGTCTGAAAAAGAAAAATTTAATTTTATAAATAAATATCTAAGGAGCTGAATGAACGGGGCTGAAAAAGATGTGAGTTTGAAAATGAGTCTTCAATACGATTGCCAAACGTGTAGCAAATGAAATTTGGAAAGAGAAAAGAAGAAATTGTTAACTCTCAATGACTTGAGAATACATTTCACATTTTATCGAAGACATTGATGAATAATACACGCACGTACGTTTTGCACACATCACAAAATTGAATACAATGCTTCGAATAAAAACAAAAAAAAAATTATTGAAATTTAAAGTAGGTTCGCATGCGGCACAATACTCTTGTTTTTGTTTTGCGCGATGAAAGTGTTGATGACTTTAATTTCACAATTTATTTTAGCATACAATATGCATTGCACTGGATTAACCCGCCGCACACCAACATTTTCAATGAAATGTCCAAATTATTTAAATGAATTGAAATCATCAAATGGCTTTAATCTAATATGCGTATGGAAATGTCTATACTTAAATGAGCGCAACTTTGAGACGGAGAAAGAAGAAGAAAAAAAGTTTCCGCTACATGAATGTCTATTATGCAGTGTATAAGATTTATCTCAACCGCCTTTTTTGTGCTTATTATTATTAGCTTGTTTCTTTCTACTCCATTCTGCCATTTTTTTATACCATTCAACATTTGTCGACTAAATCAACAACGAACACCTCATTTTCTCTTTGTCTTCTTCATTATTATAAAGTTGCCCTCGAAAAAAAAAAAACAAAGCCAATTCTGTTTTCTGTATTTATTCATTGTTTTGTGAGAAATAAAATGAAGGAAAATAACGTAACGTGATCGCATCAAATAAGAGATGACGAGATATGCAGTTGTTTCATTCCGGAATGTAAACAAACGCATGTTAATGAATGGTAAAGGTGGCCCATCATTTAGTGATATATACTTCAATAATAATAACAATACTGTGATCAAATACATGCTATTCACGATGTTCTTATCATTTCTACATATTTCAATCAATACAGTAATCGTTTTATGACAGCTATTTTGTCCAACTGTTGGCAGCTGAACAAAATTCATGACATAAAATTATCGTTTAAGCCAATAAAACATTACTGGATCAAATAAAGTGATTATACCGTTACCAGCATTAAATCAAACATTAATTTGTAGCATCATAGCCATACGTTATAGTTGTACAACAAAATGTTTTCTGCAAAAAAAGGTACCCGTAAATGGAATGAAAATAGAACCTCTCCTTCAACGCCACGTCAAATACTGAAAAGTCACATAAAATTTACAATACACAGATCGGCTTAAAAACTTGCAAAATATGCATACTATACACAAGAAAAAAAAAATCTAAATGAATTAGTTTTTCATTTTCTCTGAATAGAATTTCATCATGAATGTATGCGCTCAACCGTTTTTCGCATTTTAGACGGAATCACATTGAATAAAATTGTCATTTCGAGCGCAAATATATGCACAATCAAATGATTGAATGTATGAATGCGACACAGAAGTATTATCACCACCATCATCACCACCACGCGTCATACACGAGTGTCTATTTTTCGGTGTCGATTCGTACACGTAAACAAAAATTTAATTAAGTTAGCAGAGAGAGAGACACACACACATTCGACTGTGCGACAATGAAAATCGCTTAAATACATTTAAAAACATCCACTGATGAGCACAATGTGACACGTTTTGTATTCGTTGCTTGAATTCCCCATATCTGTTGAATATTTTAATCAAAGTTTTATCTTCCGAGCGCAAAAGATTTGCCTCACATGATAGTGATAACAACAGCCAGCCAGCTTTACATCATCATTACTTCAATGGCGATATCTAATGTGTACAATGTACATATATCATTGACAGTATGAATTTCATATCATTTGAATATTCTAATATTAATCGGTGTCAGTTGTTGATCACACAATTTGCTCGATTCGCTTATTGAAAAAATATTTTTGCCATTGCGCAGAACAAACGAAATGAAAGTGTGAACGATCCAACAAAAAAAAATTGTTGGCACGTTTGTTTAGATTTCGAGTTTAATTTTTTTTGCGTGATTGTCGCTTAGAAGCTTTCAAAAATGAAATCAACGTCATCGCGTCATAGCAAGCCTTTCGTCGAATTAAACGCATACACAAATATCACAAACAAGACACCAAATATCGCTCGCCTCACGTTGCCATTTTAATATGTCATTCTGTCCCGGTTTCTCCATCTAACCGCACCGTTTTATGACCATTCGTCCAAGTAATGCTGTAGATGACGGTCTTTTCGACCGAAATTTATTCATCATTCCGTCGATTTGACGATAAATCGTTTCTTTGTTTGTTTGTTTATACGACCTTTTGGCATTTGCTTCTTATAAATAGCAACCGATTGAAAAAGTTGCAACCAAAAATATTACACTAATTTATTAAGTGTGTTTTTTTGTATCTAATTCAGTGGATTTTCAATGCTTTCATTTCCAACAAAACTTATTTCAAGTTTTTGTAGAAGACGTTTACTTTTCCACTTCCATGCCATAAATTTCATTTCAATTTTTTTTTTGAGGTGAGCTGGAATGTCAACTTTCTACGAACAATAAATTATTGCACATACTTTAAAAACAGTCAAGTAATTGAATCAAGCTAACTCATCTAACACCTCAAGTCGTGAGCTGGCGTGAAGAACAAAAAAAAACCGGAGAGCAAAAAAATTATTCAACTTCCAAGAAATCGATTTATAAATATCGATATTATTGCACGCTCCACTATAAGATTTCTTTGGTGTTACGAAACCGTTGTGATATTTGAAACGCATCATTTCAAGTTTTCATGGTATACTTTCTGGTCACATATGAATAAAAAGAGAATATTTACAGCTAAACAACGAGTTAGATGTGACCAAAACAAGAAATCTGTTGTTACTTTCTAGACTCATTCTCATGTGTGTTTCATGTTTTATTTCTGTTGCATTACACAATCTTCTTTGAATCGAAAAGGGAAATATGTGGATTTTAAACGGCTTCAGTTGAATCATTTCCCAGTACAGATCGGAGGGTATTCAATTTCAACTCGGACACGTATCAGTAAATCAAGCGATGAAATGAGTTTTCTTTTGTTATAGAAAACATTTCACCGCTCGTGATGCTGTCAAAATGACTGAATATCTGATTTGTAAAGTGATTTGATACTAAAGCGATTAAATTCAATCCAAATGCATTTAATCACAGAGATTAGGTGTCCACGGATAATTGACGTCAATCACATGTAATTCGCCACAGCTGGACAAATGTAAAAAAAAACAAAAACATTCCAAAAGGAGGAAAAATCTTGCTAAACAAAAAGTATAAAGAATAAATTATGATGCGAAACACTTGAAAATCATCTATTTCAATTTCAAAGTCATCATTATTAAACAATCGCCAAATGAAATGGGTGTTTATCCAATCTTATTGCTTGATTCACATGATTAAACACTGTTTGTCTATTAAAAGATGGTTTCATTCCAATAAATGATTACATAACTTCTGATGTGAGATGTACGATATATTAAACACTTCATTTGAGATCATTTTGTCGTGTTTTTTTCCCTGTCGCATTTTTGCTTTTTAAAAAAACGCGTGTGTATTGATTTCACGGTTTATTTCTAATAAATGTTGACGTTTCAATTACAACGAATAGCATCGCCTGCTCGATCATGCATAGTAAAAATAATCTTGTTGAATCAAAAGCGGAAATAAGATTGTAGTGATTTTTTTCATTCGAAGAACCCATCAAAATATTGTCAAAAAAACATTAATTTACTATTTCTTTCGTTTTTTTTTTTCTATTCGCAGAATCAGGCCCAAATTGGAAGAAACAAACAAAATTAGTGGAAAATTGAATCATGGCAAATAAATTATCCGTGATTCATAGTTAATTCGACAAAAAAGAGACTCGTTATTCTAAAAGTGATAAATTTCAAAGGAAAAAGTTTAAAAACGACGAACGATAAGGATGCTCTTTCAGTGATCCGAGTGATTTAAATATGAAATGAGAAGAAGACACAAAAAATTCTAAAGAAAACAAAACGGTTAAATAGTGATTCATAAAAACAGGGAAAAAAAATGAAAATTGATAATGTTCGTTTGACTTGCTAATGCAATGTGTTCGTTTCATTTACTTCATTGATAATATTGGATTCATCCGAAATCAAGCCAATACATAAAAATCCGTGTGAATCGTTCTGACATCGTAGTCGGTCAGTTGATGACGATTCACACGCAACACCACATCCATACATATGATTTAATTTGATTGAACGAATCAATAGAAAAGTTGTCGAGAATTCTTTTGAAAAGCAAAGAATTTCTCCAACACACACGAAGTTTATTCGACAATATTTGTTCGTAAGATTTTAATGAATATCGTACGAAACATTTGGTGAGAGCTGTCAAAAGATGACGCTTCCCGTACAATCGCAAGATGAACAACTGCAACCGGAACGAACGTATAAATTATTGGGTGGCATGGCGGTACCATCGAATTCTGCAAATCCATCGGTTGGCCGAATGAATGATATGATGATGATGAATCGTGGTCATGCAAGATCAATCAGCCATGGTGGTTCGGCCAGTTCGAATGCCGGTTCAGCTGGACGTCCGTTAAAATCAGCAATGAAAGGCCATCAACGAGCTCTATCACATGGTCAAATATCCGATGAAGCGCCCGTACCAACACCACGTTCCGGCCACAATCGAGCCGGTTCAAAAACCGATTTTATTCTACCACCAACACACAAAGAAGAGCAACCGCATCGTGATTTAGCGGCCACATCAGCCCATTCGATGAGCCATTCACGGCAAGCATCCAGAAGTGAATCGATATATACATTACGTCAATCGGAAATACCACCATTTTGGAAGCGATACTTTCTCGGTCGACGAAATAGTAAATTTGACGATCGTGGCTACCGAATTGTTGTACCAAATCACACTGTGCCAAGTAAAACACCGAAACGTGATCATCCAAATGGACGATATGTTCAAAATAAAATAAGAACCACCAAATATACTCTGTTGTCGTTTTTGCCGAAAAATCTTTTAGAACAATTTCATCGTGTTGCAAATTTGTATTTTATATTTATTGTTGTTTTGAATTGGTTCATTGACGCATTTGGCAAAGAAATTTCATTGATACCGGTTTTATTTGTGCTTGGCGTAACGGCGATCAAAGACTTATTCGAAGACCGACGACGACGTGCATCTGATAAACGAATTAATAATTCAACGTGCCGTGTTTACAATGGGTAAGTGAAAGAAGTTTTTTTTTCTATATTTGGACATCCGCTAGCTCGCATTCATTGTTAATCGTAACTATGGAAAATTAGAATATCTATATTTAGTTAGATAATTAAAGCATGTAACCTTATCGATATTTATAAATTCCAAGAAACGAAGAAGATACTAATTGATGCATTAAACACCTACGAATTAGATTACTTGACTTTAATCTTCCTATCACCATCATCACAAATCGTAATTTATTTTGCAGTTTATGCATACATCTAATTTAATCACGGCGACTATATATCCCACGCTTCAAAACAAAACAAACGAAAGGGGGAGAAATTCGATATATGGCCTCTTAACTTGTGTAAAATCCATGAACGCCTCTACAACCATACATTTAATTTCTTCAAATTGATTTCAAAACACTTCAAATACACTCGAATGCTTACGTCAACCAATAAATAATACAGAAATATTACTTATATTTCACATTTTGAATGCTAATGCTACTGAATTGGTTTCCATTAGAAAGAATTTGTGTTCTATGATGAAATGAAAAAAAATGGCAACGGTCATATATATCGTACAAATTCACATGAATATATTCTAGAATATATGAATTACAATTGTGTCGCAATGCAATGCCATTGAAACAAGTTGGCATTATATGATCACATGAAATGTCGAAAATTATTACGTCGACACTGGCTGACACAAATCTTAACAAGACAACAACAGACACAACAAAAATTCCCTGAAACACTTCTCACGAAGTTTATTCATTTGAAATGTTGAAAATAATAGGCCTTTTGTCATTTAAAGATCCATTTATTGTCATCATGTCATTATTTTTGTTTTGTTTTTTATTCAACTTTGGAACATCGTCGGTGATTTTTCGTGAAACATTTTGTTTGTCTATTTACGTGGCAGGTTATTCGCCGCGTTTTTATTGCTTGTGCGTAATTTTCATTGAATGAGCTCGGAAATGCCATAAAAATAACGAACAAAAATTGAGAAAAATAAAACGCAAAATACGGTATATAACCCACTTTAAACGTCGCCACAGAATGAGGTAAATTTACAGGAAATTTGTAATAAAAATTTCCCATTTAGTAAATGGAAATGTAATTTCTTTATTAGCCAAAGAAATTTTACTTCCAGGTGCACCATACTGCCTATAGAAAAATGACAAATCCACTTAGGTGACATATGCTCATTTTCAGTTTGTGAGTCTCCATGTCGTTTATTAATATGAAATTAGTCAAGCTAGCCGAAAGCCGTTCGAGAAGGAAAAAACAGCTGGAAAAAAGTGAGCGTATGTGACAAATACACTGAATGACAGACAATGAAAGTGTGCACCCATACACATGAAATTGAGTAACACAAATGCCGCATATACAGATAAGATCGTGTATGTCCTTGAAAAAATCAAACCAATTCAAGGTAGTCGCACAACATCGATATTAATATGATTCAATTTCGTGAAAAATCAGAGCAAAAGAGAAATGTACGAAAATAAAAATGACAATAAATAAAATGAATTCGCATGCACGCGCCCTAAAAGTTAAGAACCTTATATCGGTGTCACATTCAACGTGGTTTTTATTTCGTCGAAAGTCCTACAAATCAACTCAATTTACTCAGAAATTGCTTACGAATCGAGATAAGAACATATTTTATGTGGTAAAAAACAACCGATGTGGATTTTTTTTTATTTTTTAACAAAGGTAGAAGTCCGATATATCAAAATAAAATACCATCTCATTTCACACGATCGTTAATATATTTAATTAAATGGATGTCTCATGTTTTTGTTTCAGACAAAAAAAAACAAACAAACTTTACTAACCTTTCTCATACACACGTTGAAAAGTCACGTTATTTTTGTGGCCTTTTCAATGTGAACATTCTGAACAATAGAATAAAATAACCCGTCGACATATCTTTCGATTAACTTACGATACATTTTTTTGTTGTTGGTAAAATATCGGCATACACACCAAAATTTACATTTGTTGATTGATCCTTGTTATATATTCTTTCCCCCCATTTGCCATTCAAATTCATGCATATGTCCTCTCAACTCTCATACACGGTCAATAGCAGACAGTTGTGAACAATTTTGGAGAAAAACAAAATTGTCGCTAATTTATTTAATGGAGATATCTGATTTGTAATCATGCATGGTTTTCATTCCAGCCATAATTAAAGTCATTTTTCCATAAATAATGAATTAAGTAATCCAATCATGCATTGACAGTTAATTCAATGCATTAAATATAAACTTAAAATAATCACTTTCTATTTGTGATCAGAATCAAAGGAAATTCACGTCTTGAACACCGAGGAATACCGTACGGAATAGAAATCCATGAATAATTATCAATACTTCAATCATGTTAAACACTTTATTTACTGTGATTTTGCAATATTGATACGATTGTGTAGACTTTCGACGAAATCATATAAATACGTTTAGATAAGATAACACGACTTGATTTTAATATCTGATTCACTTATGAATGGAAATCGATAAAGTTTAGAGTACTCAATAAAGTGAGTCATATAATCGAATAATGATGAAAGCACTTTGGACTTATTGAACACAATACCATTCGACGAAAGTAAGATATTAATGAGGTTTTAACCGTTTCTATTTTGAACATTTTGAACAAAATGATGTTTTAATTGGAATGTTTACATTTTTGCTGTATTTTATCGAAATTAGTGACATTCCGTGTATGGAAGTAATCCTTTCGATAAAGTCTGACACTGATTCGGCATAAAAAATTGAATGAAGTGAAATGTTTAGCGGTGCTGACCTACATTGACAATTGAGGCATTTCTTTTAGTGGAGCAGAGAGTCGAATGGTCGGATGAAAATGAATAAGGCGGTGACGATCCATTGCATGCTCGCCACGAATATAAACCGCAATATGATATCACCTCATTTGATTTGCACAATTGTCGTGCTACCAGTTTATTTTTTAAATATGCAATAGTCATGATTAAATAAAATAAATGGCCACGTGATTAAATAAAATAAACGACCGCAGCACGAATTAAGCATATGCATATTTTTTCACATGCTCCATGAATAAAAGAGAAATGGATGTGGAATACTTATAAGTGTGCACGCAACAACGACAAAGGCTATCGTTGTGTAGCATATATCAATAAATGGTGTAAACTACCTTCTGCACCATTTATCCGAAATCGAAGGTAAACTGTGCACTTAAGCATTTCCTTGATTTTAAACAAATATTGATCCCTTCGGTACCGTTTCTATTTAAATGTTCATTTTCTTCCCATTTTAACTGAAATATATTATTAAATAAAATAGGAAGCAATTCATCCGGAACACTTTTTGAGCAAATCAAGTGTCATAGAAAAACACTCCAACAAAAACCATATTCCGAAAAACCGACAATGAACGACCAAGAGACACAATTTAAGTAGAACAAGTTCAAGTTTGTTTCCATATTTCAATCAACAATTACAGTTTCTCTTTCTGTGTATAGCAGCTCATGTTATAATTTGGCTAATGTAAGCCTTTTATGACATAATCATTTCTTGTTATTATTAAAGAGAGAATGCCGCCTAAATGATGTAAAGTGAACAACGAATTTGTATCTACATACGTGGAGGGTGGGCTACAAACTGCTTATGAAGTCATGCAATCGCGTGATTTATCATAAGCAATGAAAACGGGTCATATAGTCTCGATACATGTTTTCAGTATCAAGTCAACTCAGATTCAGTCAAAAGAAATAATAATCGATCGCATTTGTCGTGCTGTGGCAACTTTACCACAGATTTGTTAAGTGGTTCTTCTCTCAAGTCCATTAATACATGCTCAATAGCGCAACATTCAATGATAATGTTTATGTGTATGGGAAACGAGTTTTTGACCGAAGTCCAACCAACTATATATGAAATAGCATCATAAAAAATTAAATAATATATTTTCAAGACGAGAATTGATTGGCATATTTGTTTTCTGCTTTAAGACATACAGCACAATGTACTACACATACGATGCGTCGATTGATTTGATATGAATATCGTTTTGTTTCAAAGGCCAAATCGATATTTATCGAAAGATACTGTTGCAATTAAGTTATTTAAAAAAATTTGATTTTTTTATTGTCGCTACTGGAGAAATAACAATTACGCCAAACTAATTCTGGATAAATGTGTACAATTTCAATAATTCCATTTAATTCACCAACACATCAGTAAATTTTGTGTAATGTATTTGTGTTTTGAACAAAAATGTGCAAACCGAAGCTAAATTTGCTAACCTTAAAACACAAATCGTTTGCAATAAATTGAAAAATTTGTTTTTTTTTTCGTTTATGTTTAAAGCGAATCAGTTGATGTCGAAGACATTGTCAATTAGTTTGTGTCTGTGTGAATTGTTTTGTTTTTGTGCTAAATTCAAATTGATTACGTATGTTTGCCGAGAGAGAGACGCAAATTCACCGCAAACTTTTAATTTCATTAGGAATGAAAATTGTGAAGAATTCAATTACATTTACCAATACCTATTCTCCATGCAGTGACGGTAGTATATTCATTTTAAAACTGAAGGTTTTCCAGTTTTTTTCCCTTCAGTTCCTTTCTTCTCTCGATCGTTATGTACAAACAGAGCAAAAAGTAGCATGAAAAAAATCGCTCACAAAACGATGGTTTTGTGTAGAAACCGGCGGCGCTTCGGCGATATAGACGGTCTTTTGTTACGTTGAACTTCGTTTCATCGGCTCTCGCAATACCGTAATATTGTTTTTTTCCCTCCGTCTTCTACCGATCGATATATACACATCAGCAAATTCAAGCGAATGTGAGATGGTTATTTTGCACGAAAAAAAGAGGCGAATTCCGCGTACGCTTGATCGATAGCGGTAGTGTGTGCGTATTCACACATTTATTTCGAATCGAACGTGATCTTTTCCATTGTACTGCTATGAACGCCAAATAAAGAAATACAAGAAATGATTTAAAACTGTGTGCTGTG